GAAGTAGAGACATTGGAGCTGAGACGTCCTGGTGCCTCTGGCTGAGAGGAAAGGCCCAGGACCCTGAGGGTAAGTGCCAGTCCAAGGGGTCCCTTGAAAGTTTGAAAGGTCACTCTAGGTTTTCCAATTGTCTGTTTTTGGACTAATCCCTTCAGTTCTGTCTTTAAAGGATTCTGCTTAGGAGTTCTGCTCTGAATGTGAACTACTTCACTGAAAAGGGTTTTTTTTTTTTTTTTTTAATGTTTGAAATCATTGTTAATTTCTGTAACAATTGTTAACTCCTGCAGGGAGTTTCTGATTAATAGATTTGGGATGGCGCAGAAAATTTGCATTTCTATAACAAGGTGCCCAGTGTCGTGGGTAGTGGGGAAAGGGTGTTGGATTTGGGAGTTAGAAACCCAGGTCTGACTTTAGGTTCTGTCACTTACTTGTGACTCAACCTCTGTTTCTCCATCTGAAAAGAAGTAACAATAGTACCTATTCTACCTTTTTCAGGATTACTGTAAGGTTTCAGTAAGATTTTAAGACTATCTACAGTCCTGCATACCTTTTGGTTTCATTTATCCAACCATCCGGTGTTCATAAAGTACATGCCAGGTCTATGCTAGGTGCTGATCACAGACTGGCCTTTCTGAGTTTATAACCCAGGTGCTACACTGACATTTTGCTGACTGATGCTGACTTTAGTGATGTTCAATGTTCGCTGCAGGAAGTTAGGAAAACTAACAGGCCTTTTATTATTTCAGGGTGACCAGGGCTTTCCAGATGAAACTGAAGAAACCAAAAAATCTGATGCTAATAACCAGACAACAGAAGCTCAGCTTAAGGAAGGGAGCCAAGTGGTAGCACTCTTCAGCTACGAGGCTACCCAGCCAGAAGACCTGGAGTTTCTGGAAGGGGATGTAATCCTGGTGTTATCAATGGGTAAGTGCTACTCCTGGATTTGAGTAACTAATTCACATGTTAGCAGGAATAAATTCAAGAGCAGAGAGAAGAAAACATCAATAAGCTACAAACTTTAGCCGATGTTTTCAATATCCTGCCTAGCTTTCAGCCAGAGGGAGCAAAACTGAGCGCTGACCTTTTCATCTGATGCTCTCTCCTGGGCAGGGAAGCAACAAATGGCAGACTTAAATCACATTTTGATTATTAAAGATTGTTTTGGAAGCCATGGATTCTCATACCAGAACTAATGAATTGGAAGGTGGTTAGAATCATTTTGCCTTTGCACCAAACCACATGATACTGATCTTCTGCAAACTACAGTTCTTTGAATTGATGTACTTTTCGAAGATGAAGGAAGAAGGGGATAAATTTTGCCTTAAGAAGCAACTATTCAGAATTGCTCTCTCTGGCAACTTTCCTGGATGTTACAAATCAAACACATTTAACATTGAAATAAGTGGAGGGTTCTAATTTAGTTCTTCTCAAACTTAAGTATGCTCATGCATCCTTTGCAGTTTGTGAAATAAAACTCCTTGGCCCAGCTCCAGAGATTCTGATTCGGGTCTGGGGTGGGGCTCACTAATTTGCTTTTTTTTTTTTTTTTTGTGGTACGCGGGCCTCTCACTTTTGTGGCCTCTCCCGTTGCGGAGCACAGGCTCCGGACGCGCAGGCTCAGTGGCCATGGCTCACGGGCCCAGCCGCTCCGCGGCATGTGGGATCTTCCCGGACCGGGGCACGAACCCACGTCCCCTGCATCGGCAGGCGGACTCTCAACCACTGCGCCACCAGGGAAGCCCTAATTTGCATTTTTAACAAGCTTCTAGGTGATGCTGGTCTACTGACCATACAGAGGAGCACCGCTCTAACTCATGGTTTGACACAGTCTTATTTCTCTACCTGGTAACAAGCAAGAGTCACATCAAAAGCTTCATTCACATGGCTGAAATCTTGTGCGTTAGTAATGCAAAGTAGTGAAAACCGAACACTGCTATTATAACAGAAAATCTAACAGGTTAAGAAACGAGAGCAGGAGATTTTAAAGTTAATGGGGTAAAGAGTGAGTGTACGAGACTGTGGCAACTAACTCAAAATATGAGTAATGAAGTGCATATCTTCTGAAAGGGAGAATGGAAACTCAGTTGTAAGAGTTGGAGTTAACTCCCCACACCATTTTTTAAGTGTCAGTATCAACCAATCAGCTCAATTGTCCAGAGGTTTTTTTTCAGGGTTGGGGATAAGAAAAAGACAAGTGAATGCTCTGAAAAACCTTCAGGGTAGGTATGCAGAGAAGGTGGCGTACTCTTTACTGGGATACGTATAAAAGTCTAAGTTGGTCTAATTCAGAAAGTATCCATGTAATATTTTGATATTGTAACACTTACAGAGAAAACAGAATTCAGCATAAACATTGTGTGGGGCTGAGGGGTGAGTTCAACTGTATTCAACAGTTATGAGAGAGTTTCATTCCAAAAGTTTCTCAAATTTAAAATGTGAATCACCTGGGGAGCTTGTTAAAATGGATTCCGACTCAGGTTTGGGGTAGGACCTGTGATTATGGCATTTCTAGTATGCTCCCAGGATCCACGACAAACAAATGCTGATCCATGACTCACATTATAGGAGGAAGAATCAAGACAACAGTTTGCAATTAGAATCACCTTGAGTGAACTTTAGAAAAAACTCTGATGCCCGACCACACTCCACACTAATTAAAGCAAGAGTTTCTGGGGACAGGATCCAAGCACCAGTGCTGCTGTAACATCTGATACAGATGTCTTACATCCAAAGATGAACTTCTGAACTGGTTCTATGGTCTGGTAGATGGGCTTTGGAGTAGGTCATACATACCTAAGGTGTCTGATATTTATTGGCAGAATGACCCTGAACAAGCTATTATCTCTCTGGGTCTCCTTTTCCTTAGTAAAACGGGGATATTATCTGCAACTGAGTTATGAAGTCTGTGCCTGCACTTTATTAGTCTCAAAATAGGTGCTATGAAAATTCTTATATTTTACAAACATGGACTGAACCCATCACTAGCTCCAACTCTCAATTCTTTGATCATTCACCAGTGAACATTCATTATTAATATATTTAACCAATTGCATGTCCCTTTCCTGTAATCAAAACAAAGATTCCCAACAAAGCTAAAACAAAGTCTTTGTTAAAAAAAATATATCATATCTAAAGATTCATTATTCAATTTCTTTCACTTTATTTCTTTGGTAACATTTTGAAAAGTCTAATTCATTCCTTTGCATTTTATTCCTCCATTATCATGTCTAAGACAGAAACCAATAATGAAATGGCTAAGTCCTATGTTTGCTCTTACCTCCATTTAACTTTCCAAAGCAGACTTTTCCCTGTTAGCACAACTGGGGGGTGAAGGACTGACAAAAGATCTGTGTGCAATATTCAGATGAGGTAATTCTCCTATACTCATTTTAGAAATTGAAGTATACTTTTCCTTTTATCAGTGAATGAAGAATGGCTGGAGGGGGAGTGCAAAGGGAAAGTTGGCATTTTCCCCAAAGTTTTTGTTGAAGAACGTACAACTACAGACTTGGAAAGCACTCCTAGAGGAGTCTAGGATGTTTCACAACCTGCAAAGTTGAAGAAAAGGCGGTACTATCATTTGCAACATCTAGCACGCCTCTGCAGTACACTGTACAGACATCGCTGTTTGGAAGTATTAATTCATCTACTTTTCCCTGTTAAAATTTAACCTATTAGACAGTGATGTGGAACTTAAGATGACGATTACCTTGGAGGTGGCGAGGGGGTGGTGGTTGGAAGAGTCTGGAAGGGCATGAGGGGGTCTTCCAGGGTGCTGATATGTCTGTTTCTTGCTCTGAGTGCTGGCTACCCAGATATGTTCAGTTCGTGAAAATTCACCGAGTTGTATACTCACTATTGGTACACCTCTCTGTGTGTGTGTGATGCCTCAATAAAAAACTTACAAAAACAAGATACCCAGAGTGCAGGCCCAAGACCTAAGTGTAATTACCCCCATTCCTGCACCGTTACTATCACAGACTCCTGGGGCCTCAGGTTACTTTACAGGTAATTCAGAAGGCGCGCGCACAGACACACACACAAAATTAACATTTTGGGGGGTTAACAGTCTTGTTGCTTAAACAGAACCTAGACTGAGTTATGTACCCCTGAAATACAGCTTTTAATTCCACAGAAAATTAAAATACTAGAACTACATCCCTTCGTGTGTTCTCAGGGAGGAACATTTCTTAAGAGTTCAATAATGAATGTGTGCCACTAATAAATAAGAAATGAAAAGCAGCTGTGTTCAGGAAGCCAGCTGGTTAGTACTACCCTACTAGGTGACATTTTATAATAAGTATTCTAGTAATATACATGATAGAATGCTATCGGTTTATTCTGGTTATCATTTAACCAAATGGCCCAGTTTTTCAGGGTTAACTTGGGTGAGAGTTTTCCATAAATACTAAAGACCTGGCCTTAATCCCCCCACTTCCTTTTGTAGAATACATGTGGCTTTGTTAACAATTTTTCAAGTGTGTAGGTGTGTGTGAAAAGCACAGTTAGGAACTGAAGTGTAGACTGAATCAACATCAAGGTGAAAGGGCAGCTGCTGGGCATGCACACACACACTGGTGAGCTGTGGTGCTGGCTTCTGGCACATGCAAAGGCCCAGCAGGCTACCACTGGAAATATGAGACACAACCTGAAGAAAGACAACACCAAAGCAAAGAGCACCAATTACTGCTGCTGCTCATCACACTTAGTGAGTTTACTGGGCCAAAAGGATAAACTATCTCTGAGTTGCTTTATTAAGGGTGACAAATAAGGATAAAAATGCTCAGCTGTTAAAAGAATTGACAGTTTCTTTCTACCCATCCGTTTCCATAATCCTGCATATTGGTTAGGAACATTACTAAAAGCAAAAATAACCCTGAAGCATATTTGATTTTTGACCTTCTTTGCTTTCCCCTAGATGACTTGTAAGTAGTTTAAGTTTTTGTTTTTTAAGTTGGATTTTCTTTTAGGATAAAAAAGAAACAATCTATACACAGATCTGGTTGGAGAGAACATGGTTTAATTAAAGGCAAAGCTGAATTCAGCAGCTGCAGGTCTTGCACAGACAGACCAAAACAAAAAACAAAAACAAAAACATAAACACAAAAGAAAGTTTACTACACAAAACCAGTTTCTGATGTAGATTCTCCTCTCCCTCCTCATTACTCCACACTGAGGATGATAAGGCGAGGAACCCCGCCCCAAGAGTCAGAAAACATTCCAAACACCAAATTCTCATGCAGAAATGGGGCTGTAGATGGGACGTGGGCACTACGTGGGACCGAGACGGTGAACCTGGTGAGCTTGTCAAGGGCGCAAGAATCCGTGACAGTTCAAACACTGGAATGTTGCAGCTGCCTGAATGCAGAGCTCAAACACACAGAGTGGGTAAAGGCAGCAGGGAAGGAGGCTTGGGACAGAGGGAAAGGGAGAAAGGTGGACACAGGGAAGGGGCTGGAGAGAAGCACAAAAGGTTTCATATTGCCATTGGGTGGGGGACTTCACCCTTTGGGACCTTTCAAAAAAATAAAACAAAACAAAAAAACCCCCAAATACCATGTCAAACTAAAAGAGCAATAATGTAAGCATACAGGACTCCAACCACTGTCTCGGAAGAGCAATGAGCATGAATCTCACCCCTTTTCATTGCTGGGGTTGCCCAGACTCCAGTGACGACCGGGGCTCCTGGATGTGCTTTGCTCTGCAGCTGTTTTCCAGCTCTTAAGTCCCACGCTAGCTCCACACACTCACACGCATCACCCCTCCCCTCTGGGGGAGCAGTCGGGCATGTGCGCGCACACACACACACTCACACACACACACACACACACACAAAGGAGAGCTCTCCCAGAAAATAAACCCTACCACTAGCACAGCAATTGGACATTTAGATTGTTTCCATAATTTCCCCTTAAAATATTACTTTTCCAGGAAATGACTATCAGTAATGCTGTCCTTCTGTTTCTACACAAGAAAATTTTCAGTCCTCTTTCCTTCTAATAAATATCAAAAGTTTATTTTCCTTCCTTTCGCCTTTTCCAGAATGGACTTCCTTGTGTTTTCTTCTCTGCGTGACGCACACGTGTCCGCGTTGCCTTGAATTTCACTCTGAAAGTGGAGGCTGGGAGACTGCAGCCGGGCAGGGGCCTGGCCCCTCGGTGGGCTATGCAGACGCCGCTGCTGCTGCTTCCTTCTTCTCCAGACTGTCTTTTGGGCCCCAGCTGCTGGACCCCATGCTGTTGCTTCTTGGCGAGATGTTGTGCATGTTAGGAATAATAACGATTACTAGCACACAGCACAGGGTAGAAAAGGGGTGGAGGTAGGGACAGGAGGAGGTGGGTGGTAAGTAGGATGGGGGCACAAAAACCAACCAAACAAAAAATAACCACACTGAAATCTTCTACCTATTAAAATGCGTCAGGCCATGAATGGACTAGCCTGCCTTCTGTGGGACTGCCTGCTTTGCTACCGTAAAATGTACAGGAATCAAAAACGTTAATTTAAAATCCTACAGCAGTTTGTCTGCAAGTCCAGCCCAGCACCACCACCCACGCTGCATCCTCGATTGGGGCTCAAGCACCTACAGAGTGAAGGGCATTTCCTGCTGGAGTCTCCAGGCCAGAGGAGGGCCCACCAGAACCTTCTGAGTGAAAGCTGAGGCCTTGTCCTCTCCCTTATGGAACATTTCCACTGGCTGAAGAGGTCAGTTTCCCCATCCTGTCACCACCAACCTCTCACAGGAGCAGTGCACGGGGCTTTCTTTGCTACACACTGTCTAGAAGAAGCACATCCGTGTATGGAAGAATTCAATGTGATATCTTACTACTGAGAGTAATAACGATAATAAAAGATGTTCAGGAATAATTTCAACTACATTCTCAGTCAGCAAAGCAATCATTAATGGATTCCTATTTTACTCCCCAAAGAGGAAAAAAAGGACTGAGACGTTCCCATTGGCTTCTCCCATCTGCCTTCCCTTCTCAGCTTTCACTTCCCATGTGGCTGGGGACATGCACGATGGAGAAGGTGAAAGGCGGTGATATCAGGTAACTGAGTGAGACAAACAGCAGTTCCTCTCTCCCTCCGGAAGGCCCCGGGGGGACGGAGAGTTCCTGATGGTTTTTTCTTTTTGCTGCACTGCAGACATTTCGTGCACACTCAGCGGGCTGGTGGAACACTTACACCCTCTCAACAGCGAGAAACAGAAAAGAGGGCTGCCACCTGCAGGGGACTGTGTGGGCCAGTCCTGCAAACCCAACATGCCATGGTTTATGGAGCCTTCATTCCCAGGGTTGCCACTCTGGCCTCAGTGTGGAGGGTTCATGGTGCCTTGTCCCCGCTGCTGTTTCTGCTTCTGCTGCATTAACAGCTGCTCCAAAGCGGAAGGTCCAGGATGCATCATGGAACTGGACCAGATAGACTGAAAAACAGCCCAGAGCTTGTCAGCAGAGGTCAAATGCCTGGTTGTCTTTAAGGGATTTGTTTTTCAATCCCAGCCAAACATAAAGGCATGTATGCCCCAAGATTCCCAAACCCTAAAAAACCCCAGCTATTAGAAAAAGTTGTTGTAAGACCAGGTCTTCAAGACAGGTTAGTTCCCATTAAGATCATTTTAAACCAGAAAAGGTGAAAGTATGTTTTATATAAAGTCTTTTTGCTAAAACTCAGCTCCATGTGAGACCAGAGCATTTACCAGAAAGGTTTCAGGCAAACAAAACATTTTTGAAATTAGATGCCCTTCTTTGACTTGTTTAGAAAAGGCTTAAATGAAATATTCCAAGGTGAGTCCGAATTTTCTTAATCTTAGAATCCAACTAAAACCTTCATGTCTGTCCCCCTGAGAATACTGCTTTATCACTAGTGAATTCACAAATTAAAAAAAAAAAGTCCTATTCAAGAATCTTATAAGGCAGACCATGCTTCTAGGACTTTGCTAGATATGTGCTATGAATCAATCCTAAGGGCCTTAGGAATAAGATTAGCCATTTATGTGAATGAAAGCAGAGACATCTCTTGCGGTTCTTGTTCCTGATCCACTCACCTTTAGGCTTTCCATGAGGACAGCAGAAGAATCCTCCATGGATGGGCCATGGCCTGTCCAGGAGCCACTTGAAGTGCTGGCCTGATGCCAACTGCTCTCAGAGGATGATGTTGCTGAGAGATAATCAATGCCAAACCCACCCATGGCTAGGAATGAAGAGATAAGAATAATTCAAGACGTTGTTCTATCATTGCCAAATGCCAAAAGCTAGGGAAGGGTAGAGTAAGTTCTTTCACTTTTGCTAAGCAATGAAGTCTGGATCTCACCTGGCTTATCAGTTTTCCACCGATCTGCCGTTCTCCTATCCCTGTTATCTGGAGTCCCAATGGGTCCAAAATTGGAGAATGGGACAGAATTGTGGTTGTGTGTCGGAGGCGAGCTTGGCAGGCTGCTTGGGTTGGAGGAATGAGGAGACTGGCTGGCTGGTGTTGAATGATCTATGAAATAATAGCAACGCAGGACATTGAACAAAGATGTTTCACAAACATGCCAAGAATGAAAGTTTCCTGTAGGTCTGATCACTTAAATTCTGTTAACAATAATCACAGGGTTTCAGGAGAGGCAAATAAAGGCCCCAAAAGGGATCCTGCCAAAGGCACTCGTCTGTCCTGCTGTGCGTGCCTAAGGCACATTCCTTGCCTTACAGCTAAAACAGTACACAGTTTTGTCAAATAAATGCATTCTTTTGGTGTGCCTCTTTCAGATAAGTATAACTGCTCTTCTCTATCAGAACAGAATTGCCTCACCTTAAAAATTACTATTAACTCTGTATTTTTAAAAGTGCAACTTTTCCTGCAAAGAACGAGTATCTACAAATAAAACTAAAAAACAGCTGCAAACCTTAAGATAAAACTCGTATTTTTCTCCCTTACAACTCTGCTCATTACTGAGGATGTAAAACAGCTTTTTAGTGTCATTTATCATATGAACCAGTGCATCAGGCTTTTTTTCCTATTTTCCTTCAGAAGTTACTTTAAAAACAAACAAACAACAACAAAATACAAACAAAAACCACCAAGACACAATCATACTATCTCTTAATCAACTTGAGTGTACGGGAAATGCAAGGTCTATAATTTAAAGACTAGTTAATACCTGAACTGGCAGGAAGTGATGGAGACCATGGAGTCCCTTCAAAAAGGGAGTACAATGATGTTTCCTGGGGGGCCATTGAGGGATTAAGTTCTGCTTTAGAGCTGGTTGTCAGGTTTTTCCCATATACCTCATTGAACACACTGTTATTTGGGTATCTTTCCTGAAAGACAATGACCACCAAGTTAACAAACTCACGCCAAAGAAAGAGATTTAAGAAAATGCAGTGTTCATGCTCATGGATGCTTATCTTAAGCCTTTCTTTGCAAGACAAACTTTTGAAGGCTTACTTCTGTTTCTTTCAGTTTTCCCGTTTAATTCATTTGCCTTTTATTTTCCCTCACCCTTTATTTTGCTCTATGTAAACCACCTGGGTTAGAAAGTATGAATAATTTACTTGCTGAACAACAGAGCCCCAGAGACTTTAACATTAAGGAGAAGTTAAACAATTCAAACTTATACAAGTCTCTAGTGTACTCTAATCAAAGGGGGGTGGGGAATAAAATCAAATACCTGGAAAACACCAATATATGGAAGAGAAAGGAAAGAGAAAAACAGACATATTGAAATAGAACGGGAAAGAAAATACTAGCCCACAATAAAAGCACAAAGCAGGATGCTTCACTGTTTACGCACCTGATTGAGAGAGAATCCGGTGAGCGACAGGAAAGAGGATGAATGTGACATGAGCTCTGAGGGCTTCTCCAGTAAGGATTTCTTCACAGTCCCGGAAAAAAAGGTAGTTAAATTATGCCTTCCATTTTCTTAATATTAATTTTAAGATACCATGCAACCAAAAGACCACAATTTAAGCATACTTGTACTCACCTATCTTGTACAATTTAAAGCTTAGAAGATATAAATTCAAATCCGTGAATACCATGACACCAGATAACTGCCAGTTGTCACAGGAGAGACAGAGCCCTCCTGATCAGCACCTCTAATCTAGCACAGAGATCCTGGCAGGGACCCTGGAAACTGGCAGTTTGGAGTGTTCACTAGGCAAGAACCTCAGGAATCCCTTTGTCAACAGTTGCATTTGAAATACTCTCAAAACAAGAAGGGGAACTGATCTGGCACTGTTTTCTCCCTAAATTTTTAAAACACTGACATTCATGACTTTTAAAAAGCCTTTAAATCCATTTGACAACTGGTTTTGTTAGCATGGTTCCTAACAACTCTATTTGTGGTATATATTAAAATAGTTGCTGAAGTCAAGCTTACATTTATTGGCCCTAAGAAAGTTACTAGGGAAAAAAAAGCTGAATCTCTGATGCTCATTGTCACTGAACTGTTGGTCAACAAAGCATTTATTAAACACCTGCTACATGCAAGGCACTTTCACACACATCATTAACGATGTTAAATATAAGAAGGGCTACCGTAAGGTTTTTTTAAACATGAAAAAAAATCCACTAAAAGGCCCCCCTCTGCTTGTTCCACCATCAGCTTCATTTCCGACGGAAGGGGCAAGCACAACAGGAACTAAGAGATTAGGAAACTAGTGTACAGAGACGTGCTCCCCTGCCTGTCCCTCAAGCCACCCCAGCAAAAAAAAAGCAGCAAGAAAGGCAAACACATAGAGGCAACAGTTTAGTATCTGGACATTCAACAACCTCTAGGCACTGCCATTGCACTACGACTGTTCAAGTGTCTAGGGGATCTTTTATTTCTGTTAATTTTAGTGGGGGGAAGTGAGAGGTCTCTGTGGCCGCTCACTCAGGAAAATTCTTAAGGGAACTTCAAGTGCCAGGGATGGCAGTGTGTCACAAGAGCCATTAAGCAGCTTTCAGTTCTCCTAGTACTAAAATCAATGCACTTTAATCTTACGAATGTCTTCTTACCCCGCGTTTATGGGAAAGAAACAGCGAGAAAGTGGAACTCAAGAATTGTTTTATGTTTTATTAAGATGGCATGAAGGGAGTGGGGGAAAGACCTCATAGCACACATCTTTCTTACAGTCCCCCCACCTTAGTAAAATATCTAAACAATGGCATTCTTTGAAATGCACACTGGGTTACAGAAGGTTATTTTTAAAAGATACCACTAATCAATTCTTAGACTTTATTTTATGTCATTCTAGTTATTTATCACTGTGTTCACTCATTTATGGTACTCCAACTATGTTTATAAATAGAGGCCTTTTCATTTTCACTCATTCTGTTTATGAATCTGGCTCTGAATTTAGATCAGGGCTCTTAGTTAACCAAACAGAAAAGAACCACATACTGTTCGGTAAAATCAATCTAGAATTTTTTTATTCAGTAAAACATCTAGAACATTATTTCATTTCATATTTTGAATACATGAGGAAAAATCTCACTGCTCCTAAACAAGATTAAATGACACCTAAAATTCCTGGGTCCAGGTGGAAATGATACCTGAAAAGTAAGTTAACTGGCCAGCATCACATTCTGTGTGTGACCAGCCCTGCAGGATGCTTTCTGGATAACATGTAACAAAGCTATAACTATAAGATTTGGGGAAACTATGGAATCAGACATGTTTTGCTATGTTCTACTACCATTTGAAGGTTAGTTTGGGCAATCAGGAAATAAGTTTTGAAATTCTATAAAAAAGGAAAGCCCTAGAAAGAAGAAACCACCTATTCCAAGTACTACAAAATCTCAGAAAAGAAGTTGAGGTTAGAGCAAGAAGAATTATGTAAAATACATACAAAGAGGCTTCGTCCAGGAAGAGAGGCGAGAGGCCCCAGCAGAGCTGGGTAAAGATCAGGAGGGTTAGAAAAAATCAGCTCTTCCTCTTCCTCCAAGGCAGCCAGACTCTTTAACAGGTCCGGAGGAAGTAGAGGGGAGCCCTTGGGGTCCTAGTGACAGAAAGGATCACAGTGAGATGCAATAAGGGATGACAAAAGCACAAAGGAGTAGTGGCATGATTAGGGGGGATGAAGGCAACTAAAGTCAAGGAGGAAGAAGTAATGAATAGTGAGACAGTATTATGCAAAGAGGAAAAGGCTCTGAAACACCAAAGCAAAGTGACACAAGAACAATGGTAGAGAAAGATCGAAACAACAGAAAGAAGCAAAAGTGGCGACAGAGCAGAACATAAAAGGTTAATGTGGGAAGTGAGTAAAACAATGCAGCGGAGCAAAGTGATTAGCCTATCTTGTGCTAACAAACAGAGAAACAGCTTTTTTAAAAGTTACAAAAACATACCCGTTTCTCATGAATAAAAAGCACGAGTACAGGGAACTCCACCATCAAAGATAACTGGCTTTGTTCCTCTCAGAAAACAATTTGTTTAAATACGCAATAAACCTATTTTTAAACTTAGATGATTCAGCCCAACTGAGAGGAGCTTTGTCTCAGAATTCTCTAACATGCTGTGTTAGAGATTTCTGCACATGATTTCTCTGCCAGACCATCACAGGTCAAAATCAGGAACAGAATTCTTCAGCTCCCCCAAATCAAACATACTATGCAATTGTAAAGAGGAGACCAAAAGCTGCACCCATTTACTCAGCAGCATTCTGCAGCACTAATGAAGCAGAGTGACCTTTATAAACATCTACTTGAGAAATTTAAAGGACATGCATCCCCAGACCTAACTCTGAAGTGCCTGGTGATAGGAAAGGACACACACCTCAAATGGCATCCTGGGCACAGGATCCTGCTCTGGACGGAAGACTCCCGGTGACCGTTTGCCCCTGCGGTCCATGTTGGCTTGCTGTGCCATTACAGCTCTGCTATCAGCCATGCTGTAGGAAGAATCCCAGTAGAATTCTGGGATCTTGACTTCTGAGGAATTATGGTTATATGGCTCCATGGGAAAAGGCTTCATTTTTTTCTCTAGAGGCTGCTGCTGCATTACAGGAGGTTGCAGTGACGGCTCAAACAGTTTTATGGGGTCTTGAGTTTGAAGGTAGTAGGGCTGTTTCACAGGCATGATTTTCCCTAATGGGCCTTGAACCTGAGGGGGATTCCACAGCTGTTTGGAGGCATCTGCCTGTTGATACTAAAAAAGAGATGCCTGTCACCAAGATGAGGATAAAATGCAATGTTACTTACACTCAGTACTCAGGAATCACAGAATGAATCTGAGAGATTTTACCACCAACAAAACTCTAGACAATGCAGTTTTGTTTACTCTTTAAGTTTTTCAATACACAGAGCTTTCTGGGAACAGATTAAGGGCACTGAACTAATGTTCTCTTTCAGTTCCATTATTTAAGAGGTTTAACAAATGAGGGTGTGAGTGTGGGTGGGCGCGCACACATTTCTCCTTCTGCTTCAAGTGCTGTGGGATGACAAATTATTTAAGACTGGTATCATTAACACCTCATCAAGATTACGATACTATTTCCCTTCTGTAGTTTAGGTTCAAATAGAGGAAATTGTTTACAGAAAATCCTTTTCTATAAAGCTCATAAGTAGTAGCAGCAAAGAATGGTAGTTAAGATCTATTGTCCTTTACAAAAGTAAAAGGGAGAACACCTGAACTTTCCTAAACAGCAAAGAGACTTACGTGTTCCCATAATCATTACAAGTCTGAGCAAGAAGTAGCTGAATGCCTAACTAGTATTTTTAATTAACCAAACACAGAATAATTTCAACCTTCCCCTCCCCTCACTTCAGCTGGACAGTACACACAACTGTAAATTACCTGCTGGAATCCAGAGTGGTGAGGAGGGCTTTTCCCCAAAGCCGGCACAGCTTTTGTAGGGGATTGTTGCTGCTGAGCTAGAGCCTGAACCTGCAACTGGCTTGTAGACTGTGCTGTTGGCTGAGCTGGTAAAGATGTAAGGGGTTGCTGGGAAGGTGGCTGTGGTTGTTGAGGTCCCTGGTTCATCGGCCCTGGTCCAGAGGGCCGTTGCTGGCTGTAAGGAATGTGGGACTGTTTCCCAGCTTGCACCTGGTTTCCTGCTGGAGAGTGAGCTGTAGGCTGAAGAAAGGTTCCCGGGACAGAAACACCAGCTGGGAAGGTGTAACCTGAGCCCATAGAAAATGCCACAGGAGGGGGGATAACATAGGTTGGGGGCGGGAACCCTTCAAAACAGAAGAACATAGCTTTAGTTCTAAGGAAACTTAGCAAAAGAAAGACAAAAAATAGTATAGTCATTTTGGGCTGGGGTGGAGAAGAGGTCTTCTAATAAATTATAAAAGACAGGGATCAACCGTCAAGTAAGACTGATCCAGCGTCAATCTTTAACCTGATTTCAAGAATTAAATATAGACTATTGGCTGCTACTTCTATCCACGGAGGTAACTGGAGAATCCTAAAGGCAGTTTCTTAGATGTCATGGTTAGTGACAGGAATTCCTTCATAATAACAAGCATACACTTGTACATAAACTACAGAGAAATGGCTCAAAAAACAATTTCATAAACATTAGGGAAAAGAGAACTAACTCCCTTATACCTTTTAACATTATGGTTTAGTAATGTCACTCAGAGTCTAAAATTTCTCAGTGGGTTAATAGAAACTCCTACACAGATGGAATTCAGCAGAAGAAACTACAAAACATGTATTTTTACCTGGCCGGCTGGGAAGAGGAGGAAAGGCTCCAGGGTGATGAATGGGGATGAACTGGGAGTTACTTGCTTGACTTGGAGCTTGAGTTACAGGTGTTTTCCTGGCTTCAGACACTGGAGTCCTTCTTAATTCTGTCTGGGATTTTACCTATGACCAACCAGAAGCAAAACTATCTATAATAATCTGAAACTCAAACATGTCAGAAAGAAGCACCTACTCTCAGAAAGTATTTAAAATCCTACTATGTCCCCCCCCAAAAAAGTATATGCTGCAGTTATTTCACTTCACCTAAATTAAAAATGGGAAAGTCAAATTATTTAATTGCCAAAGAAAGTTGTAAGGGCTTAGTTTTACTTGTCTAATTATTTTGCTTTCACAATATCATAAAAGTACGAAATACAGAAAAGACCTGAGAATTCATTTGTTTTACAAATGAGACACCTGATGCCAACAGGTTTAAAAAGCTGCCTATGATCTTAAGCCACTGTTATGGGCCCCATGGCCCTGTATTCTCTTAATGTACATGAATTATGAATGAATAATGACCACTAATCCACAGATGAGACACTTTTGGCCCTCAGTTTAACTTCATCTGGGCAGCTTTAAGGGTATCAGTCAGGCATCCACCCTCTACCCTGCAACCCTACCACCCCCAGAATAAATAAGGATACTTTCAGCAGTAAGAAACAGGCCTGAGATCCTACACATGGACCTGGAGAGAAGTAGATGCCATATGCACTACTCAAGTAATGTAAAGATGAGTAAAGTGAGTAAAAATAGGTAGCATTTACAGAAAACTCAGGATGAGGTACAGAGGGCGGTGATACATTGACTACTGTCAGGTTTTCTTTAATCATCAATAGTCAGATTTAAAAAGGATGGCACCAGAAAAGAGATTTTATTTTCCGTCTGGACCTTTTGGGGAGGCAGTTTCAGAGGATAGAGCCGGAGCAGACCGGAAATGCTGAACTCTTTATCCCTAAAACACTGGTCCTGCGGCCTTATAATTCTTTTGTTTTCTTCCTTGCCTTTCCCCAACACCTCTCACTTTCTCTGTGCCTTTCCTCAATTTCTACCATGTTTTTCTCTGTTTCTTCCCCTATTATTAACCTTAAAACAGAACTACTATGTTCTTATTTCTCCCTTTCCCTGCAAAAAAACTGTAAGGGAAATGCACTGCAGGTAATGTTTATTTGCAAGCAGACTTCAAAACTGTAAGATTCCTCATGCCTACTGTAAATAAATACATTTGCCAAAATGTGTTAATAATCAAATGGCTACAAACATTAGCGGTGTTAATAAAACCAGCACAGAGTAAAGACCCTTTTGTTTATATGAAATCATCTGTATCTCCCTGGAAAGGGGTGTGTGTGTGCGTGTGTGTGTGTGTGTGTGTGTGTGTGTGTGTGTGTGTGTTTAAAAGAAAAGTCACAAATAACTGAGCAGTGTTTATCCTTTCCCAGCAAGAGACTTGGGTTCTTGCTTTACAAATTCCCATGAGCCAGGATAACACTGAGGTTATATAATGCTACTAGCTGGGGCCGGTATAGATGTCAAGGAAAATAGCCTCATCTTTCCCCAAGAATATATTTTATTTTGTATAGTGAATCTGAAAAACAAAAAACAGAAAACCACCGTGTAAGCCTTAATATACTTGGTTCTATGGGATCTATAAAAGACCCCAAATTTTCCACTATAGCATTAATAAATCACAATTATACCTTCCAAAGAAAATGTAATTCTTTGTGAAATTGATAGCTCTGCAACTGGTTACTCCCAGCCACTTAAACTGGAGAGAACTGACAAAAATCAGGTTGAGATTTTTTTCACTCACATTACAATTCCTGAGAGTTGGTGGAGTACCCATCTACCATAGTTCTTTACATGACCTTACTATGCAGCCTTCTAAGAATGCATTGAAGCTTCCAGAATAGTCAATTCTCAAGGCTTTAGGAACAAAATGAAAAATCTTGCCTTTTGTGTGAGTCTTCCTCTACCTGCTTTATAGTTCAAATACAGCTTACCTGCACTGCCACATTCTGCTTTCCTGTTTCCTGTAACTTTTCTAAGGTGCATTTCTTGGTTTCTGTTTTCCTCTTGTTGTTGTCCTTCTTTCCATCATTCTTAGTTACAGTTATTCCTTTGCTATAGTCCCTTCTCACCTCTTTGGGAGGAAAACTTCTTCCTTGGTCTCTGTTCACTTCTCGTGGCTTAATGTTCTCTTTGAAGGTGACCACTGGTTTCTCTCCTGTGTCACAGTTGTTGCTTAGATTTCGGCCTGTAGACAGCACTGATTTCAGTCCTGGGTTCCCATCCACAGCCAGTGACTCTATGATGGTTGTTTCTTGCAGAATGAGGTTCTCTTTGGCTTCACTGGGGTCTTCCAGTATTAACTCTGGGATTTCTGTGATAAACAACAATTTCCCTACCTCATTTTCACACTGAATCAGCCTAAAAAAGTAAAAATAAATCCATATATGAAAAACACAAATCTAAAAGACAATAACAACTGAACTGTGTATGGGTCCCACAGCCTTAAAATGTGGGAAGCAGCAGGGTATAACGGTGTGGATTCAGGTAACATAAAAAGCAGTTATGTAAACTCAGATTCTCATTATCCCACTGAACATCACCACCACACATTCCCATGCCCTTTTAATGTTCTCTAATAAGTACAGCTACATTTACTCAGCATGTTTTAAGCACAAGACACTAGACTAGGCCCTTGAAGTAGCTATAATTCCTGTTTTATAGGTGTGAAAACTGAAGCTCAGAGGTATTATGTTTATTCAAATATGCAACCATGTGAGTGGCTTACAGTATAATATGAACCTGAATACAAAAATGAATATGAAACAGTTACTGACTTTGGAAAGGTTATAATCAACCACAGTGATCCTAAGGACACACACTTGGGGAAGTGGCAGAACTAGACACTGAATTCAAATCTATCTGACTCTAAAACCTATGCCCTGTCTATTACACCAACTACCATACCTGCTTTATATTTAACTAGCACCATCCTGGTCTGTCTTGACTGAAACTGACCACCATGCCCCTGTCAATACAAATCACCATAACTGTGAACATACAATTTAGTTAGATTTATATAGATGTTTATAAATTGGAGAAAAAGCTCATGATAAACAGTGGCGACAAGGCAAACTCCTCTAAAATAGGCAGTGTAATGAGAGAACAGAGGTTAAATAAAGAGATACGTATGATCACTAGGGTCATAGTTTGATGCTGTGTTACCAACATTTTGACTTAAGAGTTTACAATCAATAGCATTATACCAAGTCTAAAACTCATGTGGGGGCTGCGTGTGTATCTGATGAGGAATACCTTGGCTGATTATCTGCGATCCATTTGCCTATAGAGATCAAGCGCTGCTGTCGTATTTGTCTTTGCTGACCCTCTTTGTCTCCTGTAATACCCTGGTGGCCTTTGGAAAAATCCAAGTTCCTAAAATTGATATAAGCAAATTATAGAGAATTAAACCTAATGAACTGCAATGGCTTCAGATTTTTCCATACAGGTCAGCTATTTAATGTAAGCAACTGCATTTGTTTGAATTTATTTACACTCCCAAAGACTGTAAATACAATGAAGCAAAGTAGAAAAGAAAATATGCAAAATTCACTATATTAATGTGATATTTTTACTTATATTTCACTTTCTCACAGAGGAGCTCAAATAAATCACCATCTTTTATTGGGAAAGATTCTTTTATCCTAAGAATAAAGTTTTCATTAACACTAACCTTGCATTATAAGTAACTTACTTCAAATGACCATGGCAATGCTAAGGGTCTCTGAAATGCCTATTCTAACAAATAGTAGTAATCTATACACTTTAAGGTGGCCCAATCTAAATCAGAAAAAATGTATACATATCATAAAGTACATAGAGCAAAGAACTAACTGACGTTAGAAAGGTAAGTCAACCTAAAAAATAAGGATTTTTCAGATTTCTCATTAAGCTATCTTTAAAAAAAAAAAAAAAAAAAGCAGCAGCATCTAAGAATTGCTAGGCAGTAGGTCAGATACTAAGGATACAAAGATAAATGAGAAATAGTCCCTACCTTAAGGAACAAATAATTATGATTTAATCTGAAGAAATAAAAGCTAAACAAAGAATAAGAGAAGCATAATAAAGAAGGGTTAGTTTCTTCCGATAAGCTCTGAAAAGGTTTCACAGAGTTAAGTGATACCTGAGCTGGACCTTGAACAGGTATGGTTAAGTGCTAACAGGTTGGTAAGGGAAGGGCAAACGAGGAAGTGGGAATGTTCTAGGCATAGCATGAACAAAGTTTTGGAGGAATAAATATACAGAGCTATTCAAGTACAGGACATAGTGTATGTATGATATGTGTAAGTACTGGAGGGGACGAAGGTGAAAGTGGCAGGAAATACGACTGAAAAACTAAGCATTTGGACATTAAGCTTAAAAAGATATTATAACAACTGGGGATGGGTAAATTGAAGTTTTTGTATTAGTAATGGGACATCATCAAGCCTGTACTTTAAAAATATAATTGCTGAAGCAGAGTAGAATGGACTTGATTAGGTTGATTAGGAAGCTTTTTAATATGCTAGGTAAACAGTGATAAAAGCCATCTACCTGAAAGAAGGTCTCAAAGCCAAGAATCCTTGTAACTCGAACTCCTCTGGAAGTGGTGTAGCTACAGAAGGGCAGAAAACAAGATTTGTAAATATCTTAATTAAAATATTGTCATTCAGCAGGATATTACTTCTTAAATTAAAAAAAAAAAAAGAGTATTTTTTAGACAGAAAGAAACTATAATGCTCATAGTTCTCTGCTCTTCTTTATAGTAATCTTGATAGAATAACTTGCCTGTCAAACCCCTGCATGTTCCTTTGGGCCCTAGACATTGTCCTAATACTCACCTACTACTCATTGCTGAGGAGGATGGGTACAATGTACTTCTTTTCCCCCTAGGAGCCTTAAAGATTCAAAGCCTCGGATCCATTAATCACAATGTTTAGGTTATCTCCTTGTTAACTCAAAGTATTGAATACCAACACTGACAACACTTGGGAGCTTGTAAGAAATACAGAATCTTGGGCATTATCCTAAACCTACTGAGTCATAAACTGCATTTTAACAAGATCCCAGGTGATTCATTTGCAAATATGATGCTTGAGGGGCACTGATGTAATGGAAGAAAAATAATCAGAAAGGAGTCAACTACGGATTGTTCAGTGCAGGATTATTTATAATGGGGAAATTTTTTAAGCAAATGGACAATGATAAAATAAATTATGGCAGAGCCACAGGATGGAATATTAAGCAGCCTGTAAAAATCATGTTCCAAAATGTTTAAATGACAAAGGAAAAGGCTAACAATGTAGTGTTAAATTATAAAGCAGGTACAAAGTTGTATCTGATATCAATCACATGCAGGTTGTGTGTATGTACACATAAGTAAAAGCCTCAAAGAAAATACACTATCATGTGAATAGTACAGAAAGTATCTCTGTATGAGAGAATTAAGGGTGACTTATGTTATGTTTGTATGTCCCAAATGTTCTATGATAAGCAAGTATTACTTTGAAAGAATAATGTTGTTCACATTAGTTCCTTAAAAAAAACTACTAAGAGTGAGGAGGAAAGGAAGATGGAAAGAATCTGAAGGTACTACACTCTCTGGACTCCTATGCAAATGTAGCTAAACAGGAGAATAAGCTGCTGAGAGAACTGGAAGAACATTACCTCTATTTCCACCCACTTAATCAATATAGAGCTCAAAGTCACTTCTGAGTTACTACATTTAAAGTCAAACACTTAAGAACAAAACCCTGTTTTTCTCTGGCGTTAAGCCCACTATTAGTGATGGAGAACAATGTCAGCGACACAAGGTTAAGGTAGCCCTTACCATTAGTACTTGAAAGATCCTCTTCATGGGGGTGGAAACTATTCAGAAGAGAAATTAGCCAAGGCCAAATGCTGTAAATTAAACAGATAGTTCAGACTTTATTTTTGCATGAAAAACCAGAACACTAATAAGCCATGAAAGTGTTACCTATAGGACCGTGACTATGTATTTTTCCCTTGCTTCAGCATTTTAAAGGCTGTATGATTTCCTAAAACATATTTCCAAATGTGTCTAGATAAGATACACCAAAAGGGCCAAATTTCCATGATAGAGACCTACTACTGCAGATCGTTTCCCAGGCTCCTAATTTAACAATTAGCAAAATTAATTTGTCAGTTTTAAACATTGATATTTACTGAGAAAACTTTGACCAGAGAAATAGCACATTATGTTTTTATAGTTTTCACATACATTATCAGTTGTGGAACCCATTACTAGTTTTTAATCTGTGATGGGGGTGTGTGGTTACATCATAGTCAAATCACATTCTCTGTTCAAAGTGATGACTATGCCTTTTTATGATACAACAAAATCCACACATTGCTGTAATATCCTTACCTCTGTTTCCTAATACAAAATTGTTGCCAAAGTTTGCAAAATATTAAAAAATATTCTTAATATTTAGTTAAAATATTAAAAATAATCACGATCTACTGAAGGTAACACTAAGGTTTTCTTGAAATATTTAACAACCAATGTTGGTGAAAAGTGTGTTTTAAAAAAAGAAAGCCCAAGGTGAGTTGCCCAGGATAGAGAAATTGGATGTACATCACCACATCACAGAAAAAACCTGGAAGCTGACAACTATTTGACAGTTTTACACTTTGAAATATGGGAATATGCTGCTTAAAAAAATATAAATGAATAATATAGAAAAAATATATAAGGAAATAAACACTGAAGAATAAATGTCTGCTACAAGTCTTTGGGGACGTAACGAATTACGAGACAGTTGAAAAAGAAGGTTAATAACCCAAAAAAGAATGTTAGACTAGAACAACGTCTTTATGCAACAATTATGAGATCTCAAGAAACAGACTACAGAAAAAGAGTGTGAGAAATGGTTTAATGATATATTGCTTTACCCCACTGTGGGTTACTTAAGTCTAACTTTGCTTTCTACAAAGGAAAAAAATACATCACTATTTCATGCATTTGTTAGCTTAAGATAACATGCTCTCAAAAAAAGTACAGAGGAAAACAAGTTCTAGAAATTGTAAAGGCCCAAAAGCAAGAAACTGAAGGTTATTTGAATATATATAAAACTTTGAGTTCACAAAGAGGAATTGTTTTTTTCATCATTTAAAAGATATAAATGAAGATTATTACACCTTGATATATCAGACATATAAGGAAAATCTTCAGTTTTAGAGAAATACCCCACACTAGCCTAAAATGAGTAGTAACATAATTTAAGACAGAATGAAATACCTGCAAGGCCATAATTCTAAAGATCCCAACAAATCTAAGAGAAGGAATGGGGAAGAGAAAATGATAGGGAAGAAAAAGGAAAAATGTTTGTAAATAAACTATTCCTTCTGGCTGAATATCCTTTGCAACGATAAGAAATGGGAATGCACCGGGAGTTCCCTGGTGGTCTAGTGGTTAGGACTCGGCGCATGGCCCGGGTTCAGTCCCCGGCCAGGGAACTGAGATCCCGTAAGCTGTGTGGCTTGGCCAAAATAAAATTAAAAAGAGAAAGGGAAAAAAAAAAAAAGAAAAAAAGAAAGAAATGGGAATGCACAGAATGGGCCTAAAAGATCACTGTATAGGAACAAAAATCTGAATAAAAATATTAAAGCTTCTTTCACAGCATTACTGATATAAGTTACTGAACCAAACACAAGTTCTAAAGTACACACGGGAAGGAAAAATGTATACCTCTGGTCGAGAAATGAAAACCCAGTGCAAGAAAGCAATGTCTAAAAATATGTATGACTTACTAATACCTACATTGGCACAGAAAGGAGATGTGTAGTATGCTGTACTATGTTGCTAAACTCTATTCATGACAATGTCAAAAATGAAGGTGCTTAAAGTTAGGTTTGAGGGGAAAAGAGGAAAGAGAAGTATGCAGTAAGAGGGATCACAGGGTCTTAAACGTGGCTTGGACATTTTCTAGGTTGTGACCTTGGTCAATGTGTAGATACTGGGCCACAAAGCAGATATTTCAGAGACTCTCCTAATATCCACCATCAAAATATGCAGGGGAAAAAAATATATGCAGGGGAGGAACTTCCCACTCACTGCAAAGCCTTACTGGAAATATTTATTCCTATAATCAAAGGTACACTGAAAGCTTTCATTTGTCACTGTAAAATGAATAGTTCCTAAGAACTGTCAGAATTATTCTGAGTAGAAATTACAGAGAAAATAGTGAGAGCCAAAATAACTTCCAATCTTCTATGCTTAAAACAAATATAACTCAAATCGGGTGTTACTAAAAGGCAACAAACAGCTTATGTACAGAAAAGAATGGAAGAAGTAAAAATCTCTTCCCTTCAACTCCTAAGCATAAAATTGGGGCATATTATAATGAATAAGAAACAAACTGGTTTTATTTCTATTTCATTTTGAAATGTGAAAAATGCCTTTTCCCCAGGATGGCAACCAGGAACAGGGGGAGCACACAGGGAGTCAGAAATCCTTAAGATTGTGCCTCACATGAAGAATTCAAACAAATAAATAAAAAGCATACAAAGAAGTCTTCAGTTCAATTTCTAGAGAGTAGGTGGAAAATACAAAGTCTTCCATTATTCCAATACTGTTTTAGAAGGCAGTTTCTACATATCTGAATATCAAACAAAGCACACAAGCTAACATGAAACTCTGAGACACTTACTACTGTCTTTCATCCACCACTGCCTCCTGAAAGACCCTGGGTCTGAGTCTCAGCCAGTCCATGGAGACCTTGACTGCAGGTAGGGGATAGGCATTGTAGGATTCCTCCTGAGACTTGTTCTGGAGAGGACACTTGCACAGGATGCCAAGAAAAGACACTGAAAGAAAAAATGTGTTCAGAGAGCATAAGATATTTGAAATTGTGTACCAGTCCGAATTAAAATATTATTATGAGCCTCCTGCTGTACCCTACTTAATACTTAAAATATCTTACAGCTTCTTTCTAAAAAGGCATTTTCTTTCCTATGTTAAAAATGTTATAGATACAGTTGATGAGGGGGTGTCAGCAGATAAAAGGACAGAACTTAGGGTTTAGGCCTCCTGATTCGATACTAAGAAATGTAGGACACTTTTTAATGTTACTAATGCTTTGTTATAATGATGAAAATACCTAAGATCATGCTTTCCAAAGAAGATGGCACAGAAAGTTAAATGATTTAATACTCACTAAAGAGGGCCAGCAACTGTGTCCAACACAGCTGCTCATCTTGGCTATAACTATGCTGTTCCGTTTCATTGCTAAAGTCACGAAGGTGATGAAGTTGAAACAGGTTAATGACAGTGACGTGAACTAACTGCTGAGAGTTGAAAGCTTTTTGGAATAGCAGCCTCTGTAAAAGAAGACAGGAATACTGAATATATTATCAAGAACAGAAGCCATCTTTGACACAAGAATTAAACTGGCAGTCTGCATTTAAAGCCACAAAGGTAACATTTATAGATGAGTATTTTAATTGAGTCTGACATGGTCTGATGTTTCTCATGTTGACTTTTTGCCTTGAAAGGATTAAACCCAGACACCACAGAGCTGTTTCAGCTGTTTTTTTTTTTAAACAATACTTTTTTCCATGAGAAACTATACATTTTATAATTTTAAAAACACATTTACTTATTTATTTATGGCTGTATTGGGTCTTCATTGCTGCGCATGGGCTTTCTCTAGTTGCAGTGAGGGCTACTCTTCATTGTAGTGCATGGGCTTCCCATTGTGGTGGCTTCTCTTGTTGCGGAGCACGGGCTCTAGGCGTGAGGGCTTCAGTAGTTGTGTCACATGGGCTCAGTGGTTGTGGTGCATGGGCTTAGTTGCTCCGCAGCATGTGGGATCTTCCCAGACCAGGGCTCGAACCTGTGTCCCCTGCATTGGCAGGTGGACTCTTAACCACTGCGCCACCAGGCAAGTCCCTGTATATTTTTTTAATATGATCTGAGACAAACATTTTAGGGGACTATCAATAAATTTATACATCTTAATCCATTAGAAGCTGTTTTATAAGAGATGCAAACATACTAAAATATTAAACTGGGACCAATGACTAGAAAGTAGGTGCACAGAGTGAAAATCAAAATTTCAAATAAAAAGACTCAAAAAATATGTTTTGAACTCTTGGCACATAATAGGTGACTTAAAAAATTTGTCATAAGATTTACTCTTTCAAAGGCTTGACACATTTAAAGAAACTTATTTATTTTTAATATTTTTTTATTTATTTAATTTTTGGCCCTGTCAGGTCTTAGTTGCAGCATGCGGGATCTTTTGTCGCGGTGTGCAGGCTTCTTTCTAGTTGTGATGCGCAGGCTCCACAATGTACAGACTCAGTAGTTGCAGCACGTGCGCTTAGCTGCCCTGAGGCATTGTGGGATCTCAGTTCCCCAACCAGGGGTTGAACCCACGTCCCCTGCATTGGAAGGCGGATTCTTAACCACCAGGGAAGTCCCAAAAGAAACTTATTTATAAATGAGAGAGACAGCAAGAACATATCTGGAACACAGGGTAAATGGTAAACTAAAGCAATCATTAACAAGTGTTATAGGTGCTTCAACAAATTATTACACTTACATTTTCCCCTATTAGAAAAGCATGGTCTTCATAATCAAATTTCTTTTACTTAATAACTAGGTGTTCACAGTGACCTGCTAATAAGCACTATATGGAAAAATTCACCTACATGCTCTCAGTTAGCTAACTTCATCACCCTTCTACCTCAATATCTACAGAAATTTAGATTACTCCCATATAAAATATTTTTCAAACACAAGTTCCTAACAAAGTTGATAGCTATTAGAGATAATACCTGGCTTCGCCCTACACTTTAGCATAGCCAAGTACTCTCCCTCCCCAGGGAAAATTTTTGGAGAAAGTGGGCGATTCACTGTCACTAGCCTTATGGTGGGAAATAGAAAACTACTTACAGTTCTACCAGCAGTGACAAGAGATCCTACCATCTCAGAAATTTAAAGCTGCCTTTGTTTAGCCTATTCTGAGATTTTTTTTTTTTTACATAGTTAAAGAATCTGAAATATCCAGAATAAGTTCTATAATTCTACTAATAAGACCTTTCACGTTATCATTGGAAAACAGTACAATTCTACTTTTCTTTAACTCTGTTCTCCCTATCATCTCTCTGTTTCCTTGTCATCTGCCTTTCCAGTATATACATCAAGAATGCTCACTCCTTTTCTAAAGATATCGACCATTTTTCTTTCCTCTCCTCTACTCCGAATGTCCTGAAATGCTATCTCTTCTCCAGAGTTCTCCCACAAAACTTCTCCTTCAATCTCTACATCCAACCTCATAGATCAAGCTGATCGTTTACAGAAATGCATAATATTGGCATGAGAATATTAATTTGTATTTTTCAAAAAGCATTTTTTCCTGTAAGTACAGTTTATAGCAATGTATCCCTTGTATCTATAAATCCACTGGCATTTATTTTAGAAGGTGATGTCCTACCGAACAAATCCTAGCCCTTTAAAAAAATTTTTCTAGTGTATGCACAGAAACATTAAAGCATATGAGTGCAGCCTAGTACTAGCAAATGATAATGTAAGTTCATGAACACACAGACTTTGTCTTGTTCTCCCCTGTATATCTCTAAGAGCTTCAGAAAAGTACACAGTAGACAGCAGGTACTCAAACACTTAGTGAAGGAATAACCCAGACCTTTAGAAGTAAATATGTAATTATTCAGTTGTAATTTCGTAACATTTGGATTGTATTTTAGTAAACAAGAGGAGTTCCCTGGGAACAAAATCAAACCGGAACTGACTTATTGTTCCTCAAAGACACTTTCAACAGCAGTTGAGGAATATACTGAACTAAATACCATTAAGAAACAGCACACATTTAACAGATAGAAAAAGCCTTGTATCTCAATTCCTAAATCCCAGGCCTTAAGTCCTTCAACGAACCTCAAGTTGGTACACGTTTCTGCTTAGTAGCTAAAGACTTGCTAGTTAGACAGATACACTGATGTTTACATGTGGATAATACTAATTATCTATAAAGGCTTTAGAAATACTTACTCAACTATGCTAAAATTTCACTCCAACAACTTTCTTCTGACATTTCAGTACTGGGTGAGGTTTAAAATAGATCTGCCTCATACTATGTTTAACTTCAGAGTGTTGGAATGATATTTCAAAGTGTATTTTAGCAACTGCCCACATACACCCACCAGAACTTCACATTCAGAAATATATCTGAAGACAGTATTAGTATTTGAGGTTGAACCAAATACAAAATTGACTAGATTTATACAAGAATAACTTACATAGAGAAGATCTCACTAAGGTAGGTCCCCGCTTCCTCCCCATTTAGGGAGTGTATCTTTCACAGAACCAGAGCTGGAAGCAAGATCAAAACGTCATCTGGTCCAACTCCCTGCTAGTTAATGGGACTGCATCTAAACCATCCAAGAAAGATGGCTGTCAATCCGACTCTTAATCTCTCAAAAGAGAGACCCCCCCTCAGTAACCCCCTACAGTCTTTATTTAAATTTTAAGATTTTATTTCTGACCTCAGGAAGACAAAGGTGAGTTATTTTAAAATAATCCTTCATAGAACTGAAAACTTATAATGAAACTATTTAGCCTTGTTTGTTTTTCTAGGCTGAACAGCCTAGGGCTTTAAAAAGTTGGTTGTTTCTTTCATGTACCCAACTCTATAAATCATGGGCTAAATTTAAATAGGTCACTAAGAGAAGCAAAGAACAGAAGGGGACTCTAGAAGCTTATTTTAAAACAAACTATGTCTATTATAGTTATTTAGTATGATCTCTTACACATAAAAAGTATCAACTAAAAATGACTATCTGTAAAAACTATTTCACACTGACTATATTTGGCTAATTTATTATCTCAACTGTCTAAGTTCAACAATCTCTGGAATGTGAAACTTTTATAATACTTATAAAACTGTAAAGTAGTTACAGACAAATTCCCCAAGTGTATAGATACTCAGAAGTAACCAAGAAATATAAAATGTTCTTTGAGACTTTCTTGTTTACTGTTGATTCTAGTGACTAAAACAGTGACTGATATACATACTAGTCAAATATTTGTTGAATAAATGAACTAAAAATAAAATTAATACTAATACTTAATTTTGACTCCTCCAACATTATATAAATTATACTACATTTAAACTGCCAATTTAATATACTAGTAAAAAATTATTTTCATATATATAAATAGAACAAAGGTTACTTAATTTTATCTCCTTATACAAATTAGTACAACATATTCCTGTTGAATGAAACTCTCATTACATTCCCTCAATCAACCACAAAGTCTGATAGATCAAAGCACAATGAGAACAATGCGCTCGGTTTGCAGAATGGGATTACTATCTATGAAGTAGGTAACAGAATCATATCTAAATACAGAAACCATCAAATGTAGGACTTCCAAAACTGAGAAAAGAAAGGTGCTTGGTCTGAGAAGGAAGGAGGAAAAACTGTTTTTTCCCACTATGATATTTTCTGCCAAATGATATTTTCAGCTACTTAGTGAAAACACTGCTGCTGTATTTCTTTATATAGACAGCACCTCAGTTTAAACTGAAGGAATGCTGTATGCAAGAATTTCACATGCTTTAAATTTAGTTTTTATCAACAGTTTGCAATTAAGTAACGACATAAAAAGTGGGAGTAAGCCTCCTCCAAATCTTACGCTTCCTCATTTAGACAAGACAAAAAATTCTCTATTTAAAAAAATCTAACCTTAAACTGTTCTTCCAATTTCTCTCGAAGAGGGCTCAACTTTTCCAAGCTCTTACTCAGGTACACATGACCATGGAACTTAATAAAGGCCTTGATGAAGTCAGAAACACCCCATTTGGTTTTCACCTCATCCCGGCTGAAACGAAAGAAAAACTTCCATGAATCTTAAGCAACAAAATGGCGAAAACCTCTTACAGGAGACTTCGATTTGCAAAAACACATTACTTGAGCACCTGTGACTCAAGGAGAGGATTCGGCAACTGACTGACTTTTCAACTGCAACACTCTCAGATGAGTCAGTACTCAGCAGCCTGTACTCCTCCACTGGGAACAAATCAGAGGCTGACTGGTTGAAATTCAGTGATGACTACATGCAAAACTATTGTAATGTATATGTTTAGAAATTAGGCAAACCTAAGAGAAGAGAAGCATAGGTAACTGGCCATTATTTCTTACATGCCCAAATTTGAGGGGGGAAGGCTACCAGGTTACAAAGTCCTCTTGGAAAAGTCAACCCTACCTTTCCAGTGCTTTAGAAAGTGCTTTTTGTAGATTAGTAGAGGCAGCTGGGAAAGGGAACTTCACAGCAATGCTTCTGCAGTAGTAGAAAATTGTGGTCAGATGGTCTCCTTTGGAAGAAGCTAAGATAGCCAACTGATTGTAAGGCTGACCTAGAGGAGAAAGTTAAGATTCTAGAGCAACCCAAAATGCATGAAGTCTTGCTATCAGAACATAGAAGGTCAGTTTTTAAATCTTTATATTAACAATGGGGAGTATTTTATGAAGTAAATCTCATGACTACCTCATTAAAAATGGCATAATGTAAAACAGCACACTTCAGCTATGGTACATATTGTATTTAGGTTGAAAAGTCACATAATTAGGATGAAGAGCACAATAAGTTCAAATAAGACTTCAGAAAGGGCTAGACAATAAATATTTTTGGCTTTGTGGATCTAAGAGTCTCTATCACAACTACTCAACTCTGCCACTGTAGTGGGAAGGCAGCCACAGACAACATGAAATAATTTGTCCAACTGCCATCCCTGCCTTCAAGCGGCTCCTTTAGAATTTAAAGGACTTTCAATGTGGCTTAACAAGAATGTAGATCACCAAACATCTACAGTAATTTAATTCAAAATCACTGCTAATGCCTATCTTGGGAGCCATCAAAGGACAAAAGCATTATCTTTTAGTAATAAGAGAATTTTTCTAGGAGGGAAATGATGGTATTAAAAAGAAAATTAGGGGGCTTCCCTGGTGGCGCAGTGGTTGAGAGTCCGCCTGCCGATGCAGGGCACGCGGGTTTGTGCCCCGGTCTGGGAAGATCCCACATGCTGCGGAGCGGCTGGGCCCGTGAGCCATGGCCGCTGAGCCTGCGTGTCCAGAGCCTGTGCTCCGCAACGGGAGAGGCCACAACAGTAAGAGGCCCGCGTACCGCAAAAAAAAAAACACCAAAAATCAGGCACATATTTTAAAAAAAAAAGAAAATTGTTCTATAAGTAATTAAGGAAGCCAGAGTTGTTGAAACAATTTTAGATCACATTAGGAGATATTCTCTTTATATTGCTTTGCTGACAATCATAATATTAGTTTAAAAAATTTATTTCCAGTTACAGAGAATGTACAGTTAAAAGGAAAAATATAATAATCAATACCAAAACTCAACATTTTTTTTGGTTTCTTAACACTTGAAAGATGAGCCTTGAACTATTTACCATTTTTCTATATCTAGAGTAAAGTGTCATAATCAACCACAAGTTGACATGGCCCACTCACCATTAGAGGGGACAAGCTGAGCCGCATGCCTATAGTAGGACTCTGCCTGGCTGGTCTGGTTTCTGTATCGAGCTGAGAGGAGGAAAAAGAAAGTTTAGTTTAAAAACAAACAAACAAACAGATAAAACAAGCATTAGGGTAATATTTCCAAAACAGCTATAGTTTAACAATTTAAAATTAATAAACACATTAAAATTAAATTAAGATGATTAAAGAAAAAATATTTTAAAACAAATTAACTATAGGATTATGTGTGAAGTGTCTATCCGGCCTTCCCTATTTGGGACATTCAGCATGTAACCAATTTTAAAGCTTACCTAGCCCCCTTTTTCAGGTCCTCTAGTGTCATGCATCACCAGCTCCCACTATGGACTATGCTGGTGACCTGGAGCCGGCCCACAAGAAGGGGTGAGTTATATGGCACTTAAAAACAAAACAAAACAAAAAACACTATACAATATGATCTGAAATTTATGTATTTCTTCAATATCTTATAAAGTGACTTTGAAAAATGCTTCATACCGGACTTCCCTGGTGGCGCAGTGGTTAAGAGTCCACCTGCCAATGCAGGGGACACGGGTTCGACCCCTGGTCTAGGAAGATCCCACATGCCGCGGAGCAACTAAGCCTGTGCACCACAACTACTGAGCCTGCGCTCTAGAGCCTGCGAGCCACAACTACTGAGACCGTGTGCCACAACTACTGAAGCCCGCGCGCCTAGAGCCCGAGCTCTGCAACGAGAAGCCACCGCAATGAGAAGCCCGTGCACCACAACAAAGAGTAGCCCCCGCTCGCCACAACTAGAGAAAGCCTGCATGCAGCAACGAAGACCCAATGCAGCCAAAAATAAATAAATAAATCTTCTTGAAAAAGAAAAATACCTCATACCTATTGCAATATTATTTATGTGTGTGCAAAGAATACACTGAAAGCAAAAGCAATCTAAATATACTACTCACTGAATCTCCCTATAGAAATTTTAGTGCTTACTTTCATGTGACCTCTCATGAAGTCAATGATTTATGACATCAAGAAATCTAAAATCTTTGAACTTAAAGCAGTAATGCTCTCCATTCCTTGTTATTTGAGGACAGCCAAAACATAATCCTATAGTTAATTTGTTTTACAACCCTTTTAGGTCACCTTAAAGGAATGAACAAGAATAAATAAGTTATATAACATTCCCAGATAAAATATATAAAATGGAAATACAAATCTAACTGTAAAGAGGAAACAATTAAAAATGAGCTTTTAATGCACTGGTAGGAAGGGAAAAAAAGGCAATCTAAGCTTCAGAATGACTAATTTTTATAAACTCCACAATTCCAAAGGAGTACAGACTTTAGAAAATATTATGGTACCACTCTGAAAAATTTAGCTTTGGTTACATTTTTGCTGGTTTATTATTTGCCTACATCTGCATAAAGTCTGAATAAAATTTAAATCTGAATATGAAAGTTACTTCCTTCAAGATCCTTTGCCAATCCCAAAGCATTCCGAAAATCTAGGTTCCTTAAAATACATTTTGTAGTTTCCTCTTATGACAATTTAAGTTGTGTGTGTATTTTTAAAGGAAAATAATCTCTTTCTGTGACTACTCCAAAGAAAAGCATGAATGCATTATCAATTCCTTCACACCAATGGCTCACCAATGTCTCCAAGGTGGACGAGGCAGTGCTGGCAGATATAGGAACAGGAGCTAGACTGTGGCTTCACTATGGCGCTGGTATGCGTCTGTTTATTGCTGATAATTCCCAATTGGGAAGACTTCACACGGCATGGTAAATCTACATTAAACACTGTACACAGTTCTTGTAATAACTAAAAGGAGAACATAAGCAAGATTTAGTATTGAATCAGAACTGGTAAGTCAGAAGTGCTCTAACAGTAAAGTTTGCATGTGTAACTAATATCACATACTACTGACACCTGAGATAGGATAACCTTTCATAGGATAACTAGTAACATTCATTACAAATCACATCTTTTGAGTTCTCAAGTATTAGAGCAATCCAAGATGTACATCTAAAAGGAAAAGCAGCATTAAAAAAAGGACCACTTAAGGAGGGTATTCAGACTCATTCAGCAAGCAACTCCATGAAATTATCTATCTATCTATCTATCTATCTTCTTTTCCTCTTAGAAACAAACAAAACCCATTAAACACTGGTGGTTGGTTACAAATTTGACTTAAATACAAACCAACATATTTGGCAGACTTCAGGAGTTTCTTGAGACTTATTTTGTTAAGCCCAAGGTCAACTTGTGCCTTTGCATACACAAAAGATCTCATGGTACTACAGATCTGGAAGGAACTTCCGATACTATGTAGAGCACCCACTCTTTCTTCCTTTCTTCTCTAGTCTTATGGTATAAGAGGGTTCCTCTTCCCGGTCAGAGATAATTTCTCTGCCTGAGCATGCTATTTCATTCTCGTCTGCCTCCTGCCTGTCATCCTCTCATTTTTTAAATCTACTTTCAACTTCTCAAGCTTCTTTGCTGTGGCCTATAAAGTGTTGCCCACGAAAAATAAACAATAAGTATTATTATAAAAAAACCCACAACACACAGAACGAAAGCACTTTCCCTTGACTCTAGATTTCTCCTTTAGCAGCCTTCTAATGTCTCTTCTTCTTCTCAACCAAATTCCTTCAAAACAGTGCACGTGTCACATCTACTTTCTCAATTTCTGTTCACTCCTTAGTCCATTATGATCTGACTTCCACACAACCCCTTCTCTCCTCATTCCAACATCCACAACCACTCTACTGAAACTGTTGTCTGTATGACAAGTGGTTATAAATAAGCAAATACAATGGACATTTTCTAGTCATCATCTTACTGGATCTCTCTGCTACAGTTAAAACAGTTGATGTTATGGTTGATCACGGAGCTTTTCTAGTTCTTTTTATCTTGCCAATCATTTATTTTCAGTGTCCTTCATTCAAAGGCTTTTCTCCTCCCACCTTAATCCCCTCAAGGGTTTCATTCTTGGCCCCCACACAGCTCTTCACATTCTATTCTCATTCATTCAAATATTTACTTACAAATATAATCATTCACATATTTGGTTACTGTATCACACACCATGGTAAGCAATAGAGACACAGAGATGAGTAAAATAAAATTTGTGTCCTTAAAGAGTTCATAGCTAAATGAGCAAGACAGGTATATAAAGTAGGGAGGAAACAGCAGGAGAGAGGAGGAAGGGAGGGAAAGATACCAAACATGACAGCATAAGCCAACAGAATATTCTTCATTTATAATAAACTTCATTCCCTGGGTTATTTGATACATTTGTCTCACTTTCTCCTTGTGATAAACTGGTAGCAATACAGTATGTAGATATGAAGCTCCACTTTTTCAGATGGGGATATGAAAACAAAAATATCGAGTCATTTGACTAAGGTTACAGAATTAGAAATATCTTGATTCTATCACCACTCTAATATGTCCAGAATTCACAATACAAAATAATACACCTTGAGCACCCAACTCAGAAGGATATAAAATGTCCCACCGTTTTCCTAATATAAAAACCACCTCCATAACCAAATATAAAATCCTGTATTCCCTTCTCATGAAGCATAGCAATTATCTACATCTTTACTTATACCTGTACATTTCTAATGGGCAAGAAATTTGCTGACATAAAACTGAGTAAACAAAATTAGTGCCCAGAATGGCTAGAGTCTGGAAATATAAAAAAGCAAGAAGTACAAGAAAGGAACAAAAAATGGAAGAAACCCAAAAACAGATGATTGTGGAAGATGGCAAGAAGAAACATAACACAGCATAAAGAACTGAGTTCAACAGGTACTTAACAGACTGGAAAATTAGGCAAGGTTGAATATCTATCAAAAAGAAAAAAAGAAAGTTCATGAAAAGTAAATCAAGCATGGTTGAAACTTCATGTGAATGTCTTATAATAAAATTTTTGCCAGAACCCAGGAGTTGTAGGTAGAGATACCAGAAAAGTTCCTGCTGGTTCAGGATTCCAGGTGAGAGAACACTAGTTTAGAGGCAGAAACGAAGTGGAACTAAAGAAGAGAAACACATGTTTAATAAGTTGAACAAAACTATATTTGGCAATTATTCGGTGAAAACTCTTTTATACAATTAGCTCTTCACTCTACACTAAGAACTGAGAACTAACTATGAAGATACAGAATACCATCTTTTAACTTACTATAGAAACTTAATGATAATGCTTTCTTTTGGGCTCCCATTTTCTTAGAATAAGGACTACTCTACTGTTCTGTTCTTTGAGGTTTTTAAAAAAACCCCATACTGCGTGATGTTACATCTTTACTTCGATTGGGAGTTTGGTTCTGGCTCGAGGCATCATGCTTTTATTTATTTATTTAATTAATTAATTTTTATTGGAGTATAGCTGCTTTACAATGTTGTGATAGTTTCTGCTATACAGCAAAGTGAATCAGTTATATGTACACATATATCCACTCTTTCTTAGATTTCCTTTCCATTTAAGTCACCACAGATCACTGAGTAGAGTTCCCTGTGCTGTATAGTAGGTGTTCATTAGTTATCTATTTTATACATAGTAGTGTATATATATCAATCCCAATCTCCCAATTCGTCCTCCCCGAACCATGCTTTAAATAGTTAACAAAATACCTAAGTCAAAATCATCTTCACAGGATAACCATGTATCAGTCTCTTGTCAATCCACTCCACTCAGATTTCTATCTCAAGAATTCTACTGCAGTCACATTTCATCAAATCCAAGATACCATAAGTTATAAGATGAACTATTATTTCCATAACATTGAGGGGAAAAAAACCCAATGCCAATTAAATGGTGACTGACCACCTTTTGTAAACTTATCCCTATCTCAGAGGTGTTAAAATATGAAAAAGTTTTAGAAATGAGGAAATATGGTATTCATTAATTTCACCAATGACTTCCATATTGTCAAATCTAATTGATCACTTTTAAATCACCTTACTTGACTTCTCTGTAGCACTCAACAGAGTTGATCACCCCTTCCTCTTGTTGAAATGCTTTTCTCTCTGGCTTCCAAGGCACCACTCTGACTTTCTTCTATTGCAATGTGGCTCCTTCTGTGCCAAACGTGTTCCCACCTAGTCCCATGGGTTTCAATGCCAAACACTAATGTCTAAGTCAAGGTTCTTTATTGTAATCATAAATTTTACTCTGGCCCTGCCCTTTTCACTGAGCTCCAAGCTTATCTAATTACCTATTTGACCCCTCCTCTCAAACAGGCATCTCTCTAATGTAACATGGATAGAGCTGCCTTCTCCTCAGTGTTCCCTATCTCAGTAAATGGTATAACCAGTCAGCTAGCTGCTCAATCTGATAACTCAAGTCATCTTTGACTCTTCCCTTACCCTGATTCCACACATCCAATCCAAACCATCAGGAAGTTCTACTGGCTATACTTCAAAAATCCCTTAATAACCTTCCATCACTACAGCAGCATGCTAACTACCTTCCATTCCTGACCTGCTAATTCATTCTCCACACAACATCCAAGGTAATCTTTTAAAAATGCAAATCTTATCATGGTATTCCCTTGCCTACTTTCCAATGGCTTGCAACTACACTTAAGATTAAAATTCAAAACTCATCTTAGTCTATAAGGCTGTACAATGATTTGGACTTGGTGTACTTCCCCAATCTGGTAGCTTAATCTGCACTGCATGTCATCAAAGAAGATGTATGAACATTACTGTTCACAACATCATTAACTGTTTCAATCATCAAGCCAAAATAACAACAACAACAAAAAATGCAAGCAACGAGTCCTATTCATGTCGAGATCTGAAAAAAAGTTTATTGCTGCTCATTCTACAACTGTTGTGATCACTCAACCACTGCCTATGGAATGCAGTGGGGAATGATCAACGCTTGATTATAAAAATTTTTTAAAATAAATTTCAAAATTAGATTACTTGTATATTTTTCTTTATAAGACGATATTTTGAGACATTTGAATGATTTTATTATTGACTTGCTTATAAAGTGTTTTTGCAAATAACATGCCCCCTCAACAAAAATGATGATTCTTGCTTTACTTGTCTGGATTTATCAATGTCCAATCAAACCCTTGGAAATGTGTTACATGTATATCACATCATAAAAAAAAGGTTAAGAATCATTTTTCAAGATAACAAACAAGTCTGTGTAATGGCTAATATAAAAATGTATTGCAGAAAGTGGATGCTTTCCCTCTACCTCCACCAGGGCCAGCTGCAGCAAGTCCCTACTACCCCTCCCTCTCTACTTCAGTTGTGTTCACAGTTTAAATTTCTACTACATGAGGGAAGGAAGCGATTTAAGCTGGAGATGAGACTGGAGTTTTAAAACTGGACTAAGTTTAAAATCCTAAGAGCAATCAGAATGGTACGAAATCTGTCCAAGATGTTATGACGGGAATCCGGAATTCAACAAAGCATAGTTGAAAGTAGTGAAGTGGGGGTGGGGGCTGGGATACCATTTCTGTCAACACCCCACTGAGCTAAGGCTATTCAATTAACATGTAGAGTCAAATGTACACATAATTCTACATCATGATTTTCACTTAATAACAACAAAATTTCCTCATCTTAAAAAAAAAATCTTCATAAATAGGACCTAATTAAACTTAAAACCTTTCACAGAGCAAAGGAAACAGTCAACAAAACGAAAAGACAACCTACTGAATGGGAGAAAATATTTGCAAGTGATATGACTGATGAGGGGTTAATATCCAAAATAATATGTAAACAGCTCATACAACTTAATATCAAAAAACAACCAGATTAAAAAATGGGCAGAAGACCTGAATAGACATTTTTCCAAAGAAGACATACAGATGACCAACAGGCACACGAAAAGAGGCTCAACACTGCCAATCATCAGAGAAATGCAAATTAAAACTACAATGAGGTATCACCTCACACCTGTCAGAATGGCTATCATCAAAAAGACCACAAATAACAAATGCTGGTGAGGGTGTGGAGAAAAGTGAGCCCCCATACACTGTTGGTAGAAATGTAAATTGGTGCAGCCACTGTGGAAAACAGTACGGAGGTGTCTCAAAAAAATAAAAACAGATCTACCATAGGACCCGGCAATTCCACTCCTGGGCATAAATCCAAAAAAAACGGAAACACTAATTCAAAAAGATACGTGCACCCCGCAATGTTCACAGTAGCATTATATACAACTGCCAAGATATGGAAGAAACCTAACTGTCCATCAACAGATGAATGGATAAAGAAGATGTGGTGTGTGGCGCTGTGTGTGTGTGTGTGTGTGTCCCCACACACATACATATATAATGAAACACTACTCAGCTATAAAAAAGAACGAAATTTTGCCACTTGCAACAACATGGATGGACTTGGAGGATATTATGTTAAATGAAATAAGTCAGGCAGAGAAAGACAAATGCTGCATGTTATCACTTATATGTGGAATCTAAAAAAACAACAAAGCAGTGAATATAAAAAAAAAGAAACAGACTCACAGATATAGAGAACAAACTAGTGGTTACCAGCTAGGAGAGGAAAGGGAGAGGGGCAAGATAGGGGTAAGGGATGAAGAGGTACAAACTACTATGTATAAAATAAATAAGCTACAAGGATATATTATACAGCACAGGGAATACAGCCAATATTTATAATAACTATAAATAGAGTATAACCTTAAAAAATTGTAACTATGTTGTACACCTGAAACATAATATTGTACATCAACTAAACCTCAAAAAAATCTTCATAAATACCATTTATAATAGTTTCATAATTCCATTTTACAGATAGGCTATAATTTATTTAACCATTACTCTATTGCAGGATATTGGTATTGTTTTCAAATTTTAGTATTTGAATTATAATATCTATTTGTTCTTTTAAATCTAAGTATTATTGTTAAATATCCACTAATCTATGGACAAATGGACAAAGAAAAAACTGTACTGTAAGAACAAAAACTATCTGCTAACTTCTGTATTTCAAAAAACTTTAAATAAAATGAAAGAACAACAGAAGAAATTGGAGAAAAAGATGTTTGTCAAAAAAAAAGGAAGAAAAATAATATCCCCTTATATAGAAAAAGCTCAGACAAATCACCATGGAAAAAACTAGGGTCTGAACAATGAAAGGGAAAAGTAAATGAATAAATGATTTATATAAAATACAAATATGTAATAAAATATAAAAGTTCAACATCACTAGTAATTAGATTACATTAAATTTTAAATGAAAAATTATTTTCCGTCTATCAAGTATAAATTATTCAATTAATCATTCATTTGCCTTTATTGAAATATTTAACACTGGTGAGTGGATGTCAAGACAGACACTTGCATACGCTGCTGATGGAAATACAAAAATATAAATGATAACCTTTTGGGAAAACAATTATGTGTATCGATATAGTATTAAAGCTCCACTCATCCAATGATTTAATTCACCATCCAATGAAGAACCTATCCTCAGGAAGTAATCCAGTATTAGAGAAAATGCTTTATAAACAAAGATGCTTATCAAACTGTTTAATAATACAAGGAAAAACTTACATTATGTTTATAAAGCTGATAAAAGAATGAATAGGTACAACCATGTACGAAAGTATAAAAACACTAGAAACATACATATTAAAAGTGGTAATTTATCCTGAATGAGAGGGTAATGAAAAATTTTTGACTTTTTATAATTTTCAAATCTTTTGAAATTAGTATGCATGTTTTTATAATCAGAAAGCCAAAAGAAACCCTATATCTATTAATGTATCCATCTCCTCATTTAGACTGGATATTCCCTTGAAAGTTAAAGATGGTCTCTTTCCTCTCCAATTCTCAGTGTCTAGTATTGTGCCTTACAAAGAGTAGACTTTTAATAGCTACTTGTAGAATGAATTAATCTTTAACATCTGCTAATAAGGATTAGTTAGCGGCAAACCACAGTTCCCCTCTCCAGAAATATCAACTTTTGCTAAAAGTTGGCATCAATTTAAAAATGAATTTTGAGAACAAGAACCATACTTGAGTTCTTTCAATGATGAACTGTGATGAATGTTTTAGTCTAAGTAAAACAAATAATCTCTGTAAGATGATGGCTATTTGATATCTTTTAATAGTCTTTTCTTTCTCTTCATTCTAAAAAGTAGTACAACCAAAATGGAGCCAAAATACAGGTAGCAATGGTCAAGTAGCAGCACAGAGAGTAGGTTCTTGAATTTCTTTCGGAGCAAGATCTGCAAAACCTTGTCTTGTCATTACAAGATGAGAATTTATACACATGTTATTAATTAAATTATGAATGCTATTACAAGTGGATGAGATGATGTTTTCTAAAGAATTCTGCTTAAATAAAATTCACTGTCCAAAAAGATTTATTTATTCTTTTACCTTGCCTGATTCAGAAGTCACATCAAGATGTAATTAAGGAGAAGGAAAGTCTCTGAGGACAATAAATAATAGCTTACTATTCAAACTGAGGAAAGGCTACTCTATTTCTTAGGTAGTTTAATAGCACTGAAGCTCCAGATAAATTCTACTGTATATATAATACTATGAAAACTCACTTGATATCACGAATTTTGACTATTTCTTACCTGGCAAAACATAGCTGTTACTTTCACAGTGACTACACCCATACATTTACATTTGCTCTACTACCACCTGTAACACACTACTTCTGCTGTTTCACTAAGGCATTGCTCTCATTACCCTTTTTTTTATTCACACAATTATACCTCTAACCTTTAAGCTGAACCATCACCTTTTTAAGAGCAGAGTCTTTACTATTTTAAAGGTCTTATGGTAAGTAATTTCAGACATTTTGATTCATCTGAGATTATAGGTGATCAACTCCTGGATGGACCATACAGTGGGTACCCCAAGTGCTTATATGAACAAGATGTGTACAAAGAGAATATTCACTACTAATTTTAGGAAAATTGGTATACAGTGCAGAACTCACCTGAGTATAGAAGCCACTAGCTGCCTCTAGGAACAGAGAAAGGTTTGCCTGAACTTCACTCCGATTCGGGTTTGCTCGATTCTTTGCCTGGCCTTGTAGTGTTGTGATCTGATTCTTAAAGGCATGATTCCAGCTGAAAACAAAATGTAATTCTATTTGGTATAGCAGTGACTCACTGGGCAGACACTGGTCCCCCTGAGAACAAGAAAGAACTGTTTGTTATAATTATAACACACTAGACAGTAAACCTGCATTAAAGTTATTCACTTAAATAACTTTATGCTCCCCTTTGAACAAGACTAAACAAGCAGTAGAATGCAACTGACCTTAGTAAACACTTACCAAATGTTCGAATAATCAGACTGTGGCTTCAGTTATTAATCTTTTAGGGCTACTAGACTTAGAACCTATTTAGGAATTCTCATACAAAATTAGAACTACAGTGGCAAGACCAAAGTAAAAGCAAGCTATTAACAAATTTCCATACATTGCACCATTGTGTCAAAAAATATGTGAGTGTTCTGTATCAAGTGGCATGTCTGGGGGTGGGGGTGGGGGTGGGGGTGGGGGAGATTTTTTTGTAAATATAAGCCATATCTCTTATTTCTCTAAAACTTATTTCCCACAGCACTCAGTTCTAGTTCTATTTAATAGTTTGTTTATTTCTCTTGGGGTTAATATTTTCGTTAGAGCTTGAAATATAAACTCATTTTGACATTTCAATTTTGGCTGTTCAAACTAAGAAACAACACAATGCTGAAATATGGCACACCAAAATCCTGTTATAAAATGCCTTTCGAATTGTATAGAGAATCATTTTAAATTCAGTTGTGGTGAAATACAGTCACTCCCTAATTTGGAAATCACAGGGGAAATCACAAAGAAACAAAACAAAAAAAGGGAACTAGGATGGAGGGAAGGTATTACTGGCTGAAGGAAGCAAACACAGATAGATAGAGGGTTTACAACCTACCTGGAAAGTACCTAATTCTTTATCAACAGCAGCTTTTGAGGCTCTTTTGAAGCACTGGGGTTTTTAATGATTTATGAGGGCAATCAATCACTCCCTCAGCATTTTTGATGCCATCTTATCCATGACTCTAATATCAAAAATATGGGTTTGAGTGGTTGTGATTAAGCTCTATTACTAGATCTCCTAACAATATAAAGGTTAGGTGTGCAATATAGGAAAAACTAATCTTCACCACTACTTAGGGTAACAGGCATTATTAAAAAAAATATTCTTGATTTTTAATTTTCCACCAGGCTAATGTCCTTGTTCCAATTTATAAGGCAAGGCCTTCCATGAAAGACATTTATTTACTCAGTTGGGAATCTGGTCATCTGCTATTTCACCCCTAATAGAAAGAATGAGTGGAATAGCCTAAATATACAAAATCTTTCTTTAGTCTTATTGGGGGGAAAAAAAGGAAACACCTATTTATTGGATTAAAAGGAAGAACTTTCCTTACAATGTAAACACATTTTCCTTTGGAAGAAACTTATAGAATCATATTTATCAAAGAAAGCCTACTTCGTATTTTTTTTAAATCATGGCTCAAATATAGGATTGAATACAATACAGAGAATCCAAACACTGTCTCTTAGTACTTGAAACACATACAAATTTGTTTTTATGATACGCCCTGAAGACCTTAATAAAACTCAACTCTAAACGTTTCTCCTCTTGCTACCTAAGACTGTATCTAAAGTAATAACAATGGTCAAATATTTTGTTCAAAAAGATCACAAGTATTAGAATTTCTTTCCTTTTTTTTTCATTGAAAAACCTGACTCTGAAATAGGTTAAAAAGAAACAACCAAATTGTTCTCTTCTATTCTAAAGTCTTGGTGAGATTCCTGATCTTACAGGGACATCCCAAATGATAGTACTTACAGATCCTGTTCTACTTTCTTGTCTAAAGCATATTCCAAATCAGTAACCAGCATCTTCTGGTACAGGTCCTGCAGAGCCTGCCTGGATGTCCAGACCTCGGCTGGACCCAGCTTAGAATCTGAGTAACAAAACAAAAACAGAACGGTAGACGATAAACAGATAGTTAAGACCATTATGCCACACCAACAACTCCTTCACTCTCCATTCCCCAAAGCAAAAACAGATATCTGCTTTAAACAGATATCATAGATAGCTGCAGAAGTTTTATACTACTACATTTCAGATGACTTTCACCTTTTGGCTAATGACTACATCTGTTTCAAAATGCTTCTGTATTTGTCTTTTAGTTTTGAAATAATGCCATGAAATGAAAAAGGCTTAAAAAAAGAGAATGGTTCACCCTTTGATCTTGGTTTGGATTTCTATGCATTCATACCACAGGAAGCCATATGCCTCATAATAAGTCATCCCATTTGAAATGATGGACTGCCAAGTTGGTCTGTTTACTCTCATAACTATATCTCTTTGTCCAAAGAAGCTTTTCTCTTTTTCTTTTGAATCATTTTCACAATTGTCCTTACAGAGTCCTCCTGTCGGCTCACAATCCAGCAGCTGTTTGGGCATTCTGCTATTACTCCTACTCTCCTATGTATGTCAAGCCAATAAAGTCTTGACAGTGAGTGTTATTTTAACCATCGGTAGACTGCTTGCCAAGACACTTTGTGAGCAATACATACTTGCTATTTAATGTAAATGAGGACCAGTAGCAGACAGTGATTAAACTGCTCAAGAGGCCAAATGAGAGACTGGGTGCAAGATGAAATCAGAAAGTCAGGCTATAACTATATGTAATACCAAATTGGGGTCATGTTGTCTGCCAGAGTCCTACAAGGCACTGATTACTAGGCTTATGAGTGCAATAATTGACAGTGAGCTGCCTCAAGAGAAGAACTTAATAATGGACTTTGCAATTATATATTTCCGGCTGCTAGTTAGCCTGTCTGGTTGCGTGTAGTATTTTGCCGCTGCACAATGGCATAATCTTCACTCTTCTTTAGGTCTGCTATTAGTATCTACAGCCAGCATAATCCTATTCCGCATACAGAATCTCCCAGACAACAGAGTTAATCCTTACAAGAGTTTGCTGGCTACTAAAAAATAGGGCCTATTTTTTGGTATCAGGTTCTTGGTCCCTTCCTTATTAAGCTTTTAATGACTAAATAAATAGATTTATAGATTTATTCAACCCTGCTTCAATTCACTGATTGCAGGAAAAGGAATGTAAGGGATCATTAACTCTGACCTATCAGTGAGACTGTCATTTAAATGAGCAGACTTAGTATCTTAAGGACAGGTCACCTTCTGGGCAGGTCAAATGTCCCCTACAAAGTCAAACCCTAAGCCTACTTACTGCGGGTGTTCAAGAGTTAAGAAAATGTAAAAGGTATATAGATGGCTTAACACTGTTCCATGCACAATTTCTGTCACGCAATATAGATTATGCTTACAATGCCAATACAAGAGCATAATACAGTAGCTCAGAGCTGACATCAGAATCCATAGTATGGAAGGTGATGGCAGTTATGTTAATAATGGGAAGAACTATAAACCTATAAAAAGTGTTTTTGGTTTTTCCATTGTTTTTCTTGAGCAAGATGACAATGAGATTATCTAAAATTCTTAGAACATTAGCCTGCAATTCTAGAGGTTGAGAAAAAGAGATCTAAATAGCCCATTTCCTCTTGGTTGTAAATTTTGGCAGGTATGCTGCTTACAAGTTTAACTCTTCTTTGCAGGTTTCACTGCAGAACTAAAATCTTCAAAAATTAGGATGAGATCCATTAGCACTTATTGTTTTTTTAAATTTTAGGATGGTTATAGAAAGCATATTGCTGTTATGCTGTTATAGAGAACATATTGATCACTACATAGTTATTGCCATATATTTCCTTATTTTGGAGTTAAATTCATCTGCTCCTTTTAGTGACTAATTCCAGTTATTCTTTCAAAAACACCTTGGCTGTTATTCAAAACAAAAAAGGTGAGAAAAGAAAGAAAAGTGGCAAGGTAGCTCATTCAATTTCAAGGACTTTCAATTCGCAAGAGTTTTCCTGCAAACATTTTTTTCTGAAGGTTTACCTACTATTCAAGTTTGGGGAATTATAAACACAAAGATATAAATCTAATACTATGAGGTATTTGTCTTTATATGGTATATGAATTATTTTTTCTGTATCTCTTAAGTAGCTGATAAATAGCTTGTAAAAATTAAATGAGTATATGCATTAAATTAAGTAATATTCAACTCAGTGTAGCACAGATTACATAAAAATTTTGACAAGCCATCTAAGTAAGAATTCAAAGTATAGAAACAATAAATATTTAAAATAAATAGTAAGTTATCATCCCCTCTGGCAACCAGGACAGTACTACAAGTAGTAGAATAAGATGATACACTTCCCTTAATTTAATGGTATAAAATAAGTTGTGAAGAACAAAAGAGCCAGCAAATACCTGTCATGTCAGCCTTCAGGACTTCTGCCTGCCTAAAAAAGGGAAAAAGAGCCTCTGTTAGAAACAAACTAGGCTCACCCAACATAAGTAACACTAAAAGTTAAGTAAAATTATATATGACAGTAAGAATGTATAACAGCTCTATTTGTGGCACTGCAAATAGTGTCCCTGCTTTAATGTTTAGAGTAGCATTAGATCTTGGCAAATTGATGCCATTCCTTACAAGTTCACAGGGTCATCGCGAACTCTTCTACTGAGTAGAGTTCATTTTCTTACTGTTTACCTCCAAATTTTCCCTCCATGAGGCCAGGAAATTCTATGTTTCTCAATTCACTAGCCACTACAACTATTTCAAATCTCCATTCTCCTCAATTCTTTTCAGCAAAGGACAGCCCCATACCTCAGGAAAAACAATGCCCAGTTACTAAACACTTACAGTCACAGAGCCCTCTTCTTTCTTACTCTTGTTAAAATACTAGCAGTACTGCATCTCTTACTTAAGACCAGTAATTACACTTAGGTATGCTCTTTCTAACCTTTTTAAGGACTTCTGCCCCTTTAATTACCCTCTCCCCTCTTTCAATAATTTAAAAACTTCCCTCTCTATTGGATCCTTCTCACAGTATTTAAACATGCCCTATCCTCTCACAGATTTTAAAACCTTCTATCCTAGATTTTCCTCTAGCTGCTGCTTCTTTTCTCTCTCCCAAATTCTTCAAGAATTGCCTATATTCAAGAGGTCCAAAACTGAACTCATGACCCATCCCCACCCCCATCCCTGGTTCTCTTTCTAGTGTTTTGTACCTTAGCAAATGTATCATGGCTTTCCAGTTGTGAAAAGCAGACACCTGGAAGTCATCCATGCTAACATTCTCTCAAATCCCTGGTAATCTATCAACTCCAAAAAATTTTACCTACCAAATACATCTTGAATCTGTAGCTCTCCCTTTACTTCCTCTTCAGTCACTATAATTCAAGTTACAACCATCCCTTGCCTGGACTATTGCAAAGCCACCAAATTGTTTTCTCCACTTCACTCTTGTCTCATTTCATTCTGCTCTCTCCACTGCTACCAGAGGGATCTTTAAAAACATGCAAATCTGACCTCCCCAATTGCGCACTTAAAACCCTTTAATGATTTTCCACTGCTTTTAGGGTAAAAACCAAGATCTTTATTAAAGTGGTCTACAAAGTCCTCTGTAACTGAATAGGGTCTCTGTACTCTACTTCTACCATTATTCTCTTCTCTCCTTGGTCTCTGTGTTCCAGCCCCTGGACTTCTTTCTGGATTCTCCAATGTGCTTGGCTCCCTTGACGCTCAGGGCCTTTGTAAAGAAGAGTCCCTTTGCTAGGAATACATCTTCCTCCTTTGTCCGGTTAATTACCCATCCTTTGTCTCAGTAGAGACATTACCTCCTCAGGAAGCTTTACTTGAACCCTGCATACATGAAGGATATTCCTGTTTTATGCTCTCAAAGCACTTGTACTTTTTCTTTACAGTGTGTATCACAGATTTTAGGAATGCTCACCATCACAACTTCTTTGCCTACACAGGGCATTCAATACATATTTTTTAAGTGAAGAAAAGAAAAAGGCTAAATTATTTTCATATACTCTAAAAAGGTAAGTATATAAACTTACGAGATTTCCATTTTTAAAAACAAAGTTTGACATAAAAGCTAGAGAATATTTAGAGATTCTAAAAGTTTTACTGTAAATGCTTTATGTAATTTATTATTTGATAACAACTGTGAATTTTAGTTTCATCAAAACATAACATGAATCTTTTTGTTTTCTTAGCTTTTAAAAAGATATCTATATTTTTTAAAAATTAAGCTTTCAAATAGAATCACAATACGATGCTATAGAAACCACAAACCACAAGAACTATCAATATAAATGAACAATACCAAATAAACAGCTACACTTAGTCCTAAAAGGTAACATCACATCAAATTCCATTATCCATAAAGCCTAGTTTGAGTGTTAAACTTTAGCCGTAAAAAAAAAAAAAAAATCCTCACAAAGTATTTGATTTATGCCCGTAAAATCTAAGATCATACTTAGGAATAGCACACATCCTAACCTACCAACAACCTCCTCTCCTCCCTCACCCCAAAACCCTCCTAGAGTACTAACTTATGAACCTTATACTGAGACAGCCAACCTCACTTATGCATCTCCACTGGATTCAATACCTTTCATTCTGAGCTGCCAAGTTACAAAGGACTTATTTCACAATGCTTCCATATGTTAGCTAAAAATACATACTCTAGTTTATACAAGATACACTTAGGATCATGTGTCTAATGATTGCTTTCTCTTTCCAAACAAGATTTGCTTGTAAAGATGAACAAATGTCATCTTGGTATGCTAACATCTGCCTAACGAGGATACCAATTTCCAGTCAAATGAAGATCATATTGAGCATATAACAGGAACTATTTCCAAATAATCTGCTTCTCTGATGGGCCATCAGTAAGAGAAGAACTATAATTCTAACAGTTTCTGGAGCAGGCTTCTAGGCTTTGATAAACAAAGATCAAAATTTCACTCTACATTTTTATACACTATAATCTGCCCAATAATCTGCCCAAGAATAATGTAAAACTAAAAATCCAAACACTAACAAAAGTGCAAAAATGTCATAAAAACTATCTGACATGAATGTTCAAGCATTTTGAAATTCCAAGAGTTCTGATTCCTTAACACAGGGGAAGAGATGCTCCTCTGTGCACAGTTCTCTCCTAGGTTCTGAAAGAGACATGTGTTAATGACTAAAATAACCTTGCTAAATTGAAATGGTGAAAAGCTAGCTAAATGGAAAATGTAACAACCTTGGGAGATAGCTACTATGATTCCCATCCCATAAACAAGGAAGTTAAAGCTCTGAAATAATTTGTCCATAGTCACAAAGCAATTAGGTACAATTAAGTACAAACTTAGTTCTTTCTGACTCCAAAGTCCAAGTCATTTCTATTTCTTTTAAATTAGAATAAAAAAATTCTATGACATAAAAAGCTAACGTAGACTTATCTAGGTTCAGTTTTGTGCTCTGTCGATTAAACCCTAACATTTAAGACAACTAGTCTAAATTTAAAAATCGGTTCAGGGACTTCCCTGGTGGTCCAGTGGTTAAGCATCTGCCTTCCAATGCAGGGGATGTGGGTTCGATCCCTGGTCGGGGAACTAAGATCCCACATGACGCGGGGCAACTAAGCCCGTGCGCCACAACTACTGAGCCTGTGCGCGGCAAACTACAGAGACCACGCGCTCTGGAGCCCACGTGCCACGCACCGCAACAAAGAGCCCACATGCTGCAACAAAGGGCAACGAAGATCCCACGTGCTGCAACTAAGGCCCCACACAGCCAAAAATAATAAATAAATAAATAAACAGATATTTTAAAAAAGATCACATTAGGAAATAAATACCTGGGATTTTTATCAAAAGGACCACAAGAAGTAAAACTCACATTCTAGTGCAGTGGTCAGCCTGTGGATGAAATTCCCTCCCTCACACTGGATCAATTTTTATAAATAAATTTTATTGGAACAGTCACGCCCATTCGTTTACACATCGTCTATGGCTGCTTTCTGCTACAAGAGCAGAGGTGAGTAGCTGAGACAACAATCACATGTCTCACCAAGCCTAAAACAGTTACTATCTGGGCCCTTTACAGAAAAAGTTTGGCTCTCCTGCTTCAGGGAGTACTTCATCAAAAATGAGAAGTCGAATATGTGTAAGTTCCCAAACCAAACAGTTTTCCCATATGAGGAATCATCAATAACAGTTTCCTCAGACTAAAGATCTATTTTTATTCGTTAATGTCATAATCTTGTCACAAAGAAGACTATGTTAAAATATAGTCTCATGTAATCAGAAAGTTAGTACTTGTAGGCCATGCTATATTTCTGATGGAATTAATTTGCAAATTGCTTAAAACATGGTTAGGTTTATATATTATTATCCACTAACTCTTCCTTTTTCTGTGTACCAAAAATACCCATTTAGATAGGTGAGAGGGTTAAACTAAAAATTATCTCACAAGAAAAGGAATCCCTATTCTCCCACTCTTAGTTTTTTTTAATAATGTATAATATACAAGAAATCAAATCAATAGATATGTGATCTTACACCAACTGCTTTCATAAAGATTAGCAGAAAATTGGCTATTTGATTATTTTACGTTTTTATAAAGAAAAAATACTACACCTCAATGACCTACTGGTTTTGTTAAAGACCAATATTGTTAAAGATTAACGTTACAATGCTTATATAAAGAGACAATAGTTTTTAAATGTTTCCTCTTGGCTTCTAGAAGGTGTGGCCACATGAGATCCTTTTTATTCTTACTTTAAGCTAAAGGAATTAATGAAAAGAATGAATGAATGAAGAATCCAAGAACTAAAATCATCATGCCTTCAATAATAAAATAGCACTATTAAATAGTTATAAAATATAAAGCTTTCAAAATACTAAATATATTGTCTCAGTTCGTAAATAATAAGGGAAATTAAGCATTTCTATCAAACACTAAAAGAGAAAGTCATTAAAAGACTGAATAAAATTTGAAACATTCAGTGATAATCAAATATGTTTAAAGCTAACCATCTGAAACAATACTCTTGGAGAGAACATGATCATCAAGATCTATAAATACATTTAATGCATTCTAATGCACTAGGTATATACTAAAATAGCTTACACTATATTTAGCACTTATTATTGCCAGACACTGTTCTAAAGTAAGGGCTTTCCATAGGGTAATCATTCAATCCTCACTATGTACTATTATTGCCCCCACTTTATAGTTGAAGAAACCCAAGGAGATAGAGGTTAAGTAACATGCCCAAAGTCATCAAGTTAGCAAGTAGTAGAGGTAGCATTTTAACACCCTGATTCCAGAGGCTAACTCCTAACCATTGTATCATAGTTCCCGTTATACAAGACTGTAAAGGGGAAAAAAAATGGAATGTTTGATAGTAATTGCCCAAAGAATTGGGGTTTTCAAAGGTTAGACATTTTATGG